CTTCCTAAGCTACAGTGGTGTACATAAACAACTCGTCCTCGACTCAGGTCCATTCCATCCAGCAGCCCGTCCTCCTAACAAAGACCCAAAAGTGATTCCATGCACCCGCCAAACCCCCTGTTTATGAATGAAAAGCGGTTTACACACGATCCACAACTGCTGACGTTCGAACATATCCGGAACAAGTGCTTCACTGACGAATTATGTTCGAACCACAACGCTATAAATGCTTCACCCACGTACTATAAATACAAATAATCACCAACAGAACCTAAACACCTAACCTAACCAATGCCCAAATATACACAGCATGCTAATATATAACAATATTAATTTACATTTGAGAAAATTGCTATTATGAATGAACAAAAGTTAAAATTGATGAATGTGTCTTTGGGGTCGACCGCTGAATGGAATGGTCTGAGGACGGATTGGGGACTGAATCCATACTAGGGTTTCACACAATGCCCCCCCCCTGCATATGCACTCTGGCTCGTAGCCTAGGGATTGGGCTACGAGCCAGAGTAGTCTAGGGATTAGGCTACGAACCAGAGTAGCCTAGGGATTAGGCTACGAGCCAGCGTAGCCTAGGGATTAGGCTACGAGCCAGAGTAGCCTAGGGATTAGACTACGAGTCAGAGTAACCTAGGGATTAGGCTACGAGCCAGAGTAGCCTAGGGATTAGGCTATGAGCCAGAGTAGCCTAGGGATTAGGCTACGAGCCAGAGCCTAATCGCAGCCCTGCAATTGTCTCGCTGATACATCACAATGTGTGATTTCTGTGCACATGCTCGTTCTCTGAACTTCCCTGAATTTACCTGAGGGGTCACGTACTAACACTAGTGGCCTCGACAATGACAGAAAGCCGACGGCTTGTCAAAGGCTCCCCTATATGCCTTAATGATCTTTTCAAGTTGGATTTTAACATTTAACAGAGTTTTGGCATTTATAGCTTGAGCGGGTAGGCGGTTCCGTGGGTGAAAAAGCCTCTGGTGTTCTCGGTCCAACATTGTGGCTTGTTGAGCTTGACACTGTTGTTCCTTGTTTGTGTTACATCTGACCTTCTGGAGATGTTGTCCGGGTCAACATCCTCCAAATTGTTCAGTATTTTTAAAGATTTCGACGAGATCTGCCCTGTCATGTCATGCCTGGCATGACAGGGCAGATCTCAATTAATAGTATTGTCAGCCCTGTGGCCCTCAACCGTTCCTGATACGAGAGTTGACTTACCTCTGGAGTGATTTTAACTCCCATAACCTAACCTAACCTCTCTCACTCTACCATTAACCGTAGGGGGTGCCACAGGGCAGCATCCTAGGACCTCTCCTATTTCTTATATAAGAACATAAGAACAAGGTAACTGCAGAAGGCCTATTGGCCCATACGAGGCAGCTCCTATCTATAACCACCCAATCCCACTCATATACTTGTCCAACCCACGCTTGAAACAATCGAGGGACCCCACCTCCACCACGTTACGCGGCAATTGGTTCCACAAATCAACAACCCTGTTACCGAACCAGTATTTACCCAAGTCTTTCCTAAATCTAAACTTATCCAATTTATGCCCATTGTTTCGTGTTCTGTCTTGTGTTGATACTTTTAATACCCTATTATTATCCCCTTTGTTATGTCCATTCATCCACTTGTAAACCTCTATCATGTCACCCCTAACTCTTCGCCTTTCCAGTGAATGCAACTTAAGCTTTGTTAATCTTTCTTCATATGAAAGATTTCTAATTTGGGGAATTAACTTAGTCATCCTACGCTGGACACGTTCAAGTGAATTTATATCCATTCTATAATATGGCGACCAAAACTGAACTGCATAATCTAAATGGGGCCTAACTAGAGCAAGATATAGCTTGAGAACCACACCAGGAGTCTTGTTACTAACGCTTTGATTAATAAATCCCAGTGTCCTATTCGCCTTATTACGAACATTCATGCATTGATCCTTTTGTTTTAAATTCTTACTAATCATAACTCCCAAATCCCTTTCGCAATCCGACTTCGCAATCTCAACGCCATCTAGCTCGTATCTTGTAACTCTATCATCATTACCTAGCCTCAGAACTTTACATTTATCAGCATTAAACTGCATCTGCCAATCCTTTGACCATTTTAAAACCCTATTTAGATCAACTTGAAGTGATAGTGAGTCTTCTTCCGTGTTAATTTCCCTACCGATTTTTGTATCATCGGCAAATTTGCAAATGTTGCTACTCAAACCTGAATCTAAATCATTTATATATATTATAAACAACAGAGGTCCCAGGACAGAGCCCTGAGGTACTCCACTAACAACATTATCCCACTCTGACTTAACCCCATTTATACTAACTCTCTGTTTCCTTTGGAATAGCCATGCCCTAATCCAACTTAATATAGCACCCCCAATACCATGAGCTTCTATTTTTTTAATTAGTCTTTCATGTGGCACTGTATCAAAAGCTTTGCTAAAGTCAAGGTACACAACATCACAAACCTTACCACTATCAACTGCCTCAACTATGCTGGAATAAAAAGATAGCAAATTTGTTAAACATGAACGGCCATTTATAAAACCATGTTGCGACTCAATTATTAATTTATGTTTTTCAAGATGAAGACGAATTGTATTTGCAATTATGGATTCGAGTAACTTTCCCACAATAGACGTTAGGCTAATTGGCCGATAGTTTGACGCAAGTGATCTATCTCCTTTACTAAAAATTGGTACTACATTAGCAACCTTCCATGACTCTGGCACTCTGCCTGACTCTATTGATTTATTAAATATGGTTGACAGTGGCTCGGAAAGCTCCTCTTTGCATTCTTTAAGCACCCTGGCAAACACTTCATCCGGCCCTGGGGATTTGTTTGGTTTTAGTTTTACTAATTGTTTAATTACATCCTCCCTGGTAAACTAGTCAATATACGTCAATAATTTGCCTAATGTTTTTAACATCCTTAAGCCTATACTATTTGTTGGCGGCGTTACCTTCATCTACTCACCCCCCCCTCCCCCCCCTCACATACTAAATAATAGTGTAAATAATAAATTAAATAAAGTCCACTCATGCATGTCAACCAACAAACTTACACTAAACATACAAAAGACTTATTACAATTTATTTGGAAAACCGAATTCATCAATTTGGTTTTCCAAATTGATGAATTTGGTCTTTAGAATTTTTATTCATCAAACCAAATGCAACTTCAGATAGACAATGTTAACATTAGCAATAAAACTGATGGAAAGTTCCTTGGCCTATACATAGACAAGAGCCTCAACTTCAGCACCCACATACAACATAGTCAAAATAGTCTCAAAAACGGCCGGTACACTTTCTTAAAACAGATTATGTCTCCCACTCTGCGCTCCTCTCATTATACTACGTACTAATCAATCCTTATCTTACATATGGTATTTATGCTTGGGGTTCAACCACTGCAAACTACCTCAAGCCTATCATAACATCACTTTTCATATATTCAAATTAAAAAAAAATCAAATGTTTATTCAGGTAAGGTACATACATATAAGGTAAGATACAAAAGTTGATTTATAGATAGAGCTAGTACATACAATGACTAAAGCCAGTATTACGCAAAGCGTTTCGGACAGGAAAAACACTAAGACTAAAACTTATTACTAATTGAAATTAAAGTATAAAATGTGATGAGAAAATATATAAATTATAAAGGGGGGAACATGGCAGAAAAAACAGCAAAAATACAATTAGGTTGATAAACAGCGTTGTTTAAATATAACAGACATGAGTTGACAATAGAGGGGTAAGGTAGGTTACAGGGAGTTAATTAGGTTTTTTATCTTAATTAAAACTGGTTGAGAGAGGTACAGTCTTTAACATGGTTGGGAAGGTCATTCCACATTCTGGGTCCCTTGATTTGTAGAGCATTTCTAGTTTGATTAAGTCGTACTCTTGGAATATCAAAAAGGTATTTGTTTCTGGTGTGGTGCTCATGGGTTCTGTTACAACCTTCTAGGAAGTTTTTAAGGTCAGGATTGACATTATATACATATGAAGAATTTCAAATTTGGCGGGAAGTGACCATATCTCTACTGACGCATATATATACACAAAAATAGCGTTAGACCACCTATACCACAATATATATACGCATGCAGTATACCCCAAAGGTATACTTTAGGACGCCAGGAAGCCATATATGGAAATAAAAAGTTTCAAATTTAGCGGGAATGACCATAGCTCTGTTGACGCACACATATAGACCAAAATAGGACTAGACTACCTATACTACGATAAATATACGCGCTCAGTATACCCCAAAAATATATTTTACGGCACTGGGAAGCAATATATGGGATTAAAATGTTTCAAATTTGACGGGAAGGGACCATAGCTCTAGAGACGCACATATACACCAAAATAGCTCTAGACTATCTATACCACAATAAATATACGCCCACAGTATACCTCAAAATTATACTTTAGGGCGACAGAAAGCCATATATACACATGAAAACATTTCAAATTTGGCGGGAAGGGAGCATAGCTCTATAGACGCACATATACACCAAAATAGCACTAGACCACCTATACCACAATAAATATACGCATATAGTATACCCCAAAAATATACTTTAGGGCACCGGGAAGCCATAAATGGGATTAAAATGTTTTAAATTTGGCGGGAAGGGACCATAGCTCTATAGACGTACATATACACCAAAATAGCGCTAGACTACCTATACTAAAATAAATATACGTATATAATATACCCCAAAAGTATACTTTAGGGGGGCGGGAAGCCATATATGGGATTAAAATGTTTTAAATTTGGCGTGAAGTGACCATAGCTCTATAGACACACATCTACACCAAAATAGCGCTAGACTACCAATACTAAAATAAATATACTTATATAATATACCCCAAAAATATACTTTAGGGCGGCGGGAAGCCATATATAGACATGAAAACATTTCAAATTTGGCGGGAAGCCGGGAGTCCGTGGTGTGACCCCCGCGGACTGTTATGGTGAGTCCAACATGGCGACCTTGGCTGTGGCTGTGTGATCGTGCTCTCTCCGCCGCTTCTCTCGCGCCTCCTGCTGCCGGAATGTGCCTCCCTGGCCGCGCCACACCCTGAGGCACATCCCCGCCGCCCCTTGCACCTGGCCCTATGAGTGCCGCGCCCCTAGGGACCTGAGGAAGTGAGGGAAAAGGGAATCTTTTTCTCGGAGGAGCTCGCTCTCTCTCTCTCGTGTGGACGTGAGAGGAAAAGGCTTTATTGTTGTTGTTTGTGGCGGGGCCGCCCCCTCAAGTGTGTCTCCGGGGCCTCAAGTGCGTGCCCCCGAGTGTGTTGAGTGTGTGCGAGGAGGCACTCTAGGGCAGGTGATCACTGGAGTGCGTCCACTCAAGACGATGACCAGACCGGGGATATTATAGAAGATTTCTCTCCCTCTCTCTCCCTCTTTCTCTCCCTCTCTCCCTCCTTCCCACTCTCTCCCTTTCTCCTTGCCTCCGTCAGCGCCTCCTGCAGGAGCGAGGCGCCGCCGCTGCTCCCACACACTTGAGCTTGGTAAGTCTATCCTCGCCCCCGGGGGGGGGGGGTTCTTTGTCTATCGAGGGGGGGGCGGGGGCAGGGTAAGGGGGGTTCTTTGTCTATTGTGGGGGTGGGGAGAGGGGGGGGAGGTTCTTTGTCTATTGTTCCCCCTATTTTCACCTTCCCCTCCCTCCCCCCAGGTTCGTGGGGTAGGCCTCCCCCTGGGGGGGGGCAGGGTTTGTTTGTTTTTGTTTGTGTGGGTGGGGGGGGGGGTTGTGTGGGTGTGAGTGCTTGTTTGTGTGTGTGGGGGGGGGTGTTTTTGTTTGTGGTGGGGAGGGTTTGTTGTTGTTGGGGGGGGGGGTGTTTGTTTGTGTAGGGGTTGATGTGCTTTTGTGTTTGTGAGGGAGAGTAATATATACTTGAGAGAGTGAGTGAGTTAGTGGTGGTTTTGTTTGTGGGATATATTGGTTGTGTTTGAAGGTATGTTATGTAGTTTGCCCTGTACAGTACTGTAGTGTGTTTCCTTGTACTGTACTGTAGTGTGTGTACAGGTCGCTGTGTCAAAGATTTCTCCGCGTCTATTTTTTTTTTTGTTAATATACCTAACTTTGTGCAACCCTGTTGTATGTACCGCCAGGATGTGGGTGGTGCGGCCGGGTTCAGTCTCAACTCGCCATCCACAATTGTGGGTTCGCATCCCGGGCGGGACAGAAATGGTTGGGCACATTTCCTATCGCCTCGTGTTGACCTGCCAGCATGTGGGCACCGTGGGGTTAGTGGGCGTGTTGTGGGGTTAGTAATTTGACTCTTGGGGGGGGGGGGGGGGAAGGGGGAGGTACTTCAGTATAAGGCAAACATGTATGAAACACTGTCTGCCTGTCCCCCGACACAATTAATTATTATTATGATTGTAACAAAACGATTTGACAAAATGCCATTACCCTCTTGAGGTTACCTCGAAATGATTTAGGGGCTTGGCTTCCCCGCGGCCCGGTCGTCGACCAGGCCTCCACGTTGCTGGACTGATCAACCAGGCTGTTGGACGCGGCTGCTCGCAGCCTGACGTACGAGTCACAGTCTGGTTGATCAGGTATCCCGTGGAGGTGCTTGTCAAGTTCTCTCTCTTGAACACTGTGAGGGGTCGGCCAGTTATGTCCCTTATGTGTAGTGGAAGTGTGTTGAACAGTCTCGGGCCTCTGATGTTGATAGTTCTCTCTCTCTTTCTCCGAGAGTCTAATAGCCAATCGGGTGGCTCTTATATCCCTGTGCAAGTTAAGTTTGGGACGACAAGTGACGGGGGTCATGCCACAAGTGACGGGGGGGTGGGAGGCATGCCACAAGTGACAGGGGGGGGGGGGGGGGGCATGCCACAAGTGACGGGGGGGGGGGGGGGATGCCACAAGTGACATTTCTCCACTCCGTGTTAACACTGTTGATGCTAACATGTTGCTCCTTCATCCTTGCTGTTGAGCCTCTTGTGAGGTACAATATAGTGCCATGGTGAGGTCACTGGCTGCTGCTACTGGTGGTGCCAATTGGCCAAGACAATGGTATGATGCTTGGGTTCAAATTTGCAGTTAAGAGGCTAAATCAGGTTCTATTTAATGAGGCACCACTATGCCACCAGGACCTGTGAAATACTACAGTATACCGACCCTAGGCTGTAATCCTAGTCTTAGGTTGCTCTCTCTCATTTTATCTTTGTCAGTAAAGGTTATTGATAAAATTTCACTCATGTTGTAAGCCATCTTTATAAATTTCTTTGGGAAGGGTTGAGGGAATGCACCATCAATACAGTAGGAATATTAATCTTGAGTATTAGTCTATCTTGAGGTCATCTTGAGATGATTTCGGGGTTTTAGTGTCCCCGCGGCCCGGTCCTCGACCAGGCCTCCACCCCCAGGAAGCAGCTTGTGACAGCTGACTAACACCCAGGTACCTATTTTACTGCTAGGTAACAGGGGGCATAGGGTGAAAGAAACTCTGCCCATTGTTTCTCGCCGGCGCCCGGGATTGAACCCGGGACCACAGGATCACAAGTCCAGCGTGGTGTCCGCTCGGCCGACCGGCTCCCATCTAGAGTACAAAACTAGACTATACATCTTTGTACTAAAGTAGCATACTATTCATTTAAAAATCATTACAAATTAATGCTGGCCTACGTATACCTTTCACAGGGAAGCACTTTTATGAATGTAATTAGGTTGCCATAACATGTAAGATATTACTAATAACGATGACACTTTACTAATAACGCTGAAACTACCAATAACGCTGAAACCTTAATAATTATAATAATGAATCTACTAACGAACACACGCGTATACAAAATGTTTGTGTTCACAATTGCAATAACGCAATACAAAGTTTTGTTTAAGTTACGTCTAGCGAGATTTTGACGAGTTTTATAAACGTGTATAATGGTGAAGGCCAAACTCCTTTGTGTTTTCTTGGGAAAATAATTTTGTACGATTAAAAAAATTATAACCTAATAATTTCTTAAACTAAATTAGAAAGTCATTGAAGAGTGCCACACTTTTGATTCAGTCTCTATACTGAATGTGAGCCTCTATTTGTTACCACATGCGCACGTTTTTACTGTCGACTGCATCAGCATGCTTAAGTGGCCAGGTGTTTCAGCGGAGACTGGTCTACTAATTTCTACTGTAATGGCTTAGTTCAACAAACAGCCTGTTGGATCAAGATATCATAAGTCGAGTCTGGTCTCGGGGTGGAGGGGGGGGGTGCAGGCTCGGGAAGTAGATGAACTCCTGAAACCCTCCATAGGCATGTTCCAGGTAAACAGTTTGTAAACACCCGTAATGCCGACGGAAAATTGGCAAGCTTCTTTAATATTTATAGTTTTAGTTTAGTGGTAATATTAGTGAATAATTGTAATCTCTCTCTCCTACAGATGTTTGCAAGAGTTAATGAACAGTAGCCGAGCCAGAAGCTGTGGGTGGGGCACACTGCGGAGACATGGCTGACAGAATGGCACGGCGCAGGGTGAAGTTGTATGCGCTAAACGCTGACCGCCAGTGGGACGACAGGGGCACAGGCCATGTCACGTCCTCGTAAGTGGAGCCCTTTGTGCACAGTTTCCTGCTACTATGATCTTACTGCCTTCTCCTTTGTGTGTGTGTGTGTGTGTTTTCTTTCTGTATTTTCTTAACAAATGGGTCTTAGAGCTGCCCTATTCCTTTAAGGTCACCCTCATGTAGGGTACACACACCAGTTTGTAAACTCTGAGTATTTCATTAAACCTTGAGGCCTACCTACTGATGACTTTCCAGATGAAGGGTGCCCATGATAGACCTCAAAACAATCCTTTACATAAATCTTCCTTTGCCTCACTTGAGATACTCTGTGGAATCTTAAGTGGAATACAGTATTTTAAATGTTTACTTCACCTCAGATGCACGTTAATGGTTAGTTGGGCTGTCATTTCTCCGGCTGTATTAATCCACATTAATTTCAACGCACAAATGAAGAAAGATTAATGTCTCTTGCCTCTCCATATATGTGTAAATATTTTTTTGTCATGTTCTTGCTGTTAAACTAGCATTTATTTACCTGTTCACATATATATTCCAAACTTTTAACACAACTATCCTTCCATTTGTATTAACCCTCGCTTGATACCCCGCAGGTACGTAGAACGGTTAAAAGGGATGTCCCTGTTAGTGCGGGCAGAGTCGGATGGTTCTTTGCTCTTAGAATCGAGGATACAGGCCGACACGGCATATCAGAAGCAGCAAGGCACACTAATTGTCTGGTCTGAAGGTGAAAACTTTGATTTAGCTCTGAGTTTTCAAGAAAAGGCCGGCTGTGACGAAATCTGGGAAAAAATTTGTCAGGTATGTTGCTATTTTGTCTGGCTGTTGCGAGTGTGCATTAATGTCTTTAAAAAGTGTGAAAACAAAAGACAGCTGGGCCAAATGGGCTAGGATTCAATTAACATTTGTGTGGCTACTGTTGAAATCTGTGAAAATGTCCTTTTTCAATCGTGGTAGCTTAGTCTGTGTTTATTTATCAGTTAATGAGCGTCTTCGTACCTGCAAGGTTGTTCTCGGCCCTAAGTTGTTATTGATTTTGGCAGACGCCATCATTCTTGGCGCATTAAACTACTGTATTTAATTTTTAAGATGCCAGGATTGAGGAAAGATGTACAGATCTCTCGAGTCATTAACGTTCTCATTCCTAACAGAAATGTATGATAAAACATCCTTAAGTTTAGTAGTTCAAAGTGAATGAGAAAATCATAAGAGGTCTAGAATAAAGTATTGTGTGTGTGTGTGGTTAGTAAATTAAGAAAATCCAGGCATATTATAATTTATATGTTATATAGAATTATTGGGGAGTGCTTTTTATTTTTTGAAAAAAAAAAAATGTGATTTTTTTCATGTTGATAGCATTGGGATCACGTCCTCCCTGTGAGTGCTGGTAGGAACAGTTTGGAAGGTTGAATAGATGGGTCATGCCAGCGAAAAAAAATAGGTACCCAGTGCACGATGGATGAAGGGGGGGGGGGGAAACAGAACAGGTTAAGCTAAATTTAATGTTAAATTGTATTCGTCCACTGTCTACTGTCCAAGTGACGAATTCAGTATGGGGTCGGTTTTGTATTATCCGCTTTCCAAAATACATTGACTCTTGGATTACCAAGAGAGTCGCACTAGGGGCTTCAAGAGTACAGAACTTGTCGTGCCAACCAGGAGGTCGATGCTGGCAATAAGGCAGTACCCAACTGGTACCTAACTTGAGACTTTCAACCATCCCTGGCACACCACCCATACTACTGTGAATGATATCTTGTGTTACCTTGGTATTGAATTTATAAATTTACTTACTTTTTGTTTCCCCCTTGAAGGTACAAGGAAAGGATCCCAGTGTCGATATCACGCAAGATATAGTCGAGGAGAGTGAAGACGAGAGATTTGATGACGTGTCAGATTCCAACCCCTGGGTCGAGCTGCCTCCTTGTGAAATTGGCAGATTGGAAGACATCAATGAGGTGAGTTTGATGTCACAGAGTGTTGATGTTGATGATGTGATGACCAAACCTCATGCCAGAAGATGAGGATGGGGTACAAGACGAGAAGAACTTGTCTTGTACCCATCACCTTGCCTCTTGTACCCGTCACCTTGTCTCTTGTACCCGTCACCTTGCCCCTTGTACCCGTCACCTTGCCTCTTATACCCGTCACCTTGTCTCTTGTACCCATCACCTTGCCTCTTGTACCCATCACCTTGCCTCTTGTCTTGTACCCGTCACCTTGCCTCTTGTACCCATCTCCTTGCCTCTTGTCTTGTACCCGTCACCTTGCCTCTTGTCTTGTACCCGTCACCTTGCCTCTTGTCTTGTACCCGTCACCTTGCCTCTTGTACCCGTCACCTTGTCTCTTGTACCCGTCACCTTGCCTCTTATACCCGTCACCTTGTCTCTTGTACCCGTCACCTTGCCTCTTGTACCCGTCACCTTGTCTCTTGTACCCGTCACCTTGCGCCTTGTCTTGTACCCGTCGCCTTGCCCCTTGTCTTGTACCCGTCGCCTTGCCCCTTGTCTTGTACCCGTCGCCTTGCCCCTTGTCTTGTACCCGTCGCCTTGCCCCTTGTCTTGTACCCGTCGCCTTGCCCCTTGTCTTGTACCCGTCGCCTTGCCTCTTGTCTTGTACCCGTCGCCTTGCCCCTTGTCTTGTACCCGTCGCCTTGCCCCTTGTCTTGTACCCGTCGCCTTGCCCCTTGTCTTGTACCCGTCGCCTTGCCCCTTGTCTTGTACCCGTCGCCTTGCCCCTTGTCTTGTACCCGTCGCCTTGCCCCTTGTCTTGTACCCGTCACCTTGCCCCTTGTCTTGTACCCGTCACCTTGCCCCTTGTCTTGTACCCGTCACCTTGCCCCTTGTCTTGTACCCGTCACCTTGCCCCTTGTCTTGTACCCGTCACCTTGCCCCTTGTCTTGTACCCGTCACCTTGCCCCTTGTCTTGTACCCGTCACCTTGCCCCTTGTCTTGTACCCGTCACCTTGCCCCTTGTCTTGTACCCGTCACCTTGCCCCTTGTCTTGTACCCGTCACCTTGCCCCTTGTACCCGTCACCTTGCCCCTTGTACCCGTCACCTTGCCCCTTGTACCCGTCACCTTGCCCCTTGTACCCGTCACCTTGCCCCTTGTACCCGTCACCTTGCCCCTTGTACCCGTCACCTTGCCCCTTGTACCCGTCACCTTGCCCCTTGTACCCGTCACCTTGCCTCTTGTACCCGTCACCTTGCCCCTTGTCTTGTACCCGTCACCTTGCCCCTTGTCTTGTACCCGTCACCTTGCCCCTTGTCTTGTACCAGTCACCTTGCCCCTTGTCTTGTACCCGTCCCCTTGCCCCTTGTCTTGTACCCGTCACCTTGCCCCTTGTCTTGTACCCGTCACCTTGCCCCTTGTCTTGTACCCTTCACCTTGCCTCTTGTCTTGTACCCATCACCTTGCCTCTTGTACCCATCACCTTGCCTCTTGTCTTGTACCCGTCACCTTGCCCCTTGTACCCATCACCTTGCCCCTTGTACCCGTCGCCTTGCCCCTTGTCTTGTACCCGTCACCTTGCCCCTTGTACCCGTCACCTTGCCCCTTGTACCCGTCACCTTGCCCCTTGTACCCGTCACCTTGCCCCTTGTACCCGTCACCTTGCCCCTTGTACCCGTCACCTTGCCCCTTGTACCCGTCACCTTGCCCCTTGTACCCGTCACCTTGCCTCTTGTACCCGTCACCTTGCCCCTTGTACCCGTCACCTTGCCCCTTGTACCCGTCACCTTGCCTCTTGTACCCGTCACCTTGCCCCTTGTACCCGTCACCTTGCCCCTTGTACCCGTCACCTTGCCTCCTGTGCCCGTCACCTTGCCTCTTGTGCCCGTCACCTCCTTCCCTCTTGCCTTGTCTTGGCTCCCTCTCTATCATTCTCCCTTGGTGCTATGACTTTGTGTCTAAAATGAACCTAAACATTGTCATCACTCATATATTTTCCATGTGCGGGAGTTGGATTATTTGTGCTTGATTTTGTTAGGCAATTGGTTTTGCTTTATACTCGTTGTTCTTTATTAGAATCGTTGTTGTTTTGGTTTTATTGTACGTCGTCGTCAGTTGTTCCAAAATGTAATTCCAATGTGTTTTTATTCTGCAGGTGATAAGTAACTGCTTACATTCTCCAGTTAGACGAGAAAAGTTGGCCATAGCCCTGGAGAATGAGGGTTACGTCAAGAAACTGGTGTCGGTGTTCCACACGTGTGAAGACCTCGAGAACATGGAAGGTCTTCATCTTCTCTACGAAATCTTCAAGAACATCTTCCTGCTCAACAAAAATGCCCTGTTCGAAATCATGTTTGCAGACGATACCATATTTGATGTCGTAGGATGCTTGGAGTACGATCCTTCCTCACCGTACCCGAAGAGACACCGACAGTACCTCAAAAGTATAGCTAAGTTTAAGGAGGTGAGCAATATTATTTTCTGGTTGTCATTTTAGGTATGTTTCTGTTTTGGTGCACTTGGTTAGATTTATCTACATCGCTTAACTTCTATAGTTCTACCAAGATGGTTTTGATAGACTGAGAGCACTGGCTTCTTAAAGCAGCCTTGAGGGAATGTTTAAATGTGCCGTTACTGGTACGTGAAACTTTGTAAACAGTATGTGAAGATGGCGTACGATGACGTTGAATGTGGTGTATCTCGTCACACCATGGAATCAAATGAGCATCCCTGTACTCCCTGGCCACAATCTTGCCCCACCATGGAATCAGATGAGCATCCCTGTACTCCCTGGCCACAATCTTGCCCCACCATGGGATCAAATGAGCATCCCTGTACTCCCTGGCCACAATCTTGCCCCACCATGGGATCAAATGAGCATCCCTGTACTCCCTGGGCACTGGCTGAACCACGAGGAGCTCAGACAGACATGGGCCGGAGTGCAGGGATGCAAGTTGTATGGTCTCGGTATTTTCTCAAAATCATGTTGTTGCTTATATTTGTTTGCTTGCTTTAAATGTCTATAGTACAGTTGTGATTTTGTGTGTTAGATGTTCTACCTAAAAATCATTGACTAAACACAATTCATTTAATTATCAGTGAACACTTTTTTGAGAAGATTATTATGTTTTTATTCAAATTAGCATTTTGGAATAGTGTTGTTTGTGTTTGTTTGAAAAGTGTGTGGGGTCATTTTCAGGTAATTCCCATAGAAAATAGTGAACTACTAAGTAAGATCCACCAGACGTACCGTGTCCAGTACATCCAAGACGTGGTGCTGCCGACGCCGGCGGTGTTCGAGGAGAACATGTTGTCCACGCTCTCCTCCTTCATCTTCTTCAACAAAGTAGAGATAGTCTCTCTCATTCAGGTGAGCCGAAGGAACGCTTCAGTGCTGCTATATATGGAGCGCGGCAGCCCAAGTATTTGTGTTGTGGTCTCGCAGTGACCGTTGTTGCTGATAATGTGAACGTTTGCCATGAGGCATTACCCTTGGCTCTCACTGTAACTGCATCCACTTTGTTTCATGTAGCTTTGTGTATTTTTGGTCTGATGTTGATATTTTTCTTGATATTCCTCTCTTCACTGTATGAGGATAAGGATTTGGCATGGGACAGGGCAAAGAATGATGCCCAAACACTTGGGCTGGATGGTAGTGTTTCGCTTCATGCAGGTTCATGTTCAATACCTGAATGTCGAAGTGGTTGGGCACCATTCCTTCCCCCCGTCCCATCCCAAATCCTTATCCTGATCCCTTTCAAGTGCTATATAGTCGTAATGGCTTTGTGCTTTCTCCCGATAGTTCCCTTCTTTGCTGTACGTAGCTTCACCTCTCTGAACCTCTTTGTAACTCGGGTCTCGTATATCTGGTGCTTTCATTGTTGAACCTCTTTGTGTGTGTGTGTGTGTGTGTGTGTGTGTGTGTGTCACTTGAGTGTGGGTTCCAAGCTGGTGCCGCACACCCTACACCTGGTCTAATGAATACTGTATAAGACTTGCTTTGAAGATTCATTGTCCATTTTCTGAAAAGCTTTTTCTTATGTCTTATCTGCTAATGGAAGTGGCTGAGGCGCTCTATAAAAATTGACACTGTTTTGCCGGACAAACATTCAAACCCGTACAACTACATAACCTATTTAGGCTGATGTGTAGGAAATGTCATTATCCCTTAAACTGCTAAGAACTTTTTTGCCCTGCAACATTGCCAGACGCAACAAAAAAAAAAATATGCAAAAATTGTTTCATCTTATAATTGTTCATTTGTGTTCCCTGATCATGGGAAAAATAATAACAAAATCGTAGGTGGCGTATTTTGGCCAAAGTAGGGCGGGGAAGTCGGGCAAAAATGAGGCGGTGACAGAGCAAGTGTCGGAGGTGGTCTGCTCCGCCCGACCTGTCACGAGCTGCCACAAATATATTATTACCTAATTATTTCAATGTCTGATTTTTTCTTGTTTTTTTTACAATAATATTATTCAATAGTGTGTAGTGTAATATTAATTAACACTATCGCCCTCTTCGAACGCAACTTGCGTTAAATTTTTTTCTCCGAGTCCGAGCAACGGACATGATGTGCGATCGATAACCAAATATTTGTATAAAATTCATTTATTATCTTGGGGATAGTTTCAAAATGAGTGCTTTTAGAGTGCGCACAATTTGATACCAAAATGAAAGATGTAACACAAAACTTGATGTCAGAACACGTGAAAGATTATAAATACGTTTTTGGTCAAAATTTTAAAATATTTGTTAAAATTCTATTTATTGTGCTATTATTATGGGACTAGTTTTAACACTTTCGCGTTCCACAGACTGAATAATTCGTCATTTATTTTTCTACTGAATGTGTTCCAACGACGCAATACTGCGTCACTCATTACAATATTTTTTTAAAATTTAAATTTTATCAGATCAATCTGGTAGTGGTTTTAAAATAAGCGCCTTTAGATTGCACACAATTTGATACCAAAATCAAAGATATAACATGAAACTTGATGTCCAAACACTTGAAATATTATAAATAGGTCTATGGTCTGAATATTAAAATATTTGTTAAAATTCTATTTATTGTCCTATTATCTTGGGACTTGTTTTAAAATGTGCGCCTTTTTATTGCGAACAATTTGATACCAAAATGAAAGATGTAACACAAATATTTATGTCAGAACACTGGAAAGATATAAATAAATTTGTGATGATTAGCGTCCAGAATTAAAATATTTGTTAAAAATCCAGTTATTGCTCTATTATTCTGGGACTAGTTTTAAAATAATCGCCTTTTTATTGCGAACAATTTGATACCAAAACGAGCGACGTAGCACGAAATTTGATGTTATCAAATTGAACGAGTTGAACATTAGGTTGCAATGTACAAAATGGTGCTCGTTCATGGGTAACTTTAGGCTTTTCTGCGGGGAGGCACTCCAGCCTTTTGTACATTTTATTCATACACATCTGTAGGGAATTTAATTGCGAACACAATGATACCAAAATGAGCGACGTAGCACGAGAATTAAGGTAAAAAAATGGAACGAGAATGCACATGTTACTGATTTTGTGCGTTTTTGCCGACTTTACGCTTTGCTGTTGGGAGTCACGCTAGGCTTTTGGACATTATATTTATACACACCTGTAGAGAATTTAATTGCGAACACAATGATACCAGAATGAGCGACGTAGCGCGAGAATTAAGGTGAGAAAACTGGAACGAGTATACACATTTGAGTGTCACCGCGCGCTTACCCGCACGGAGGGGCCACGATCCCCCTGTCAACCGCGAGTTTCCACGGAGCGCGAAAGTGTTAATGTGGTTTTCAGGTGACGGTTTTCTATCTAGAACCACCCATAGATCCCTTTCTTTGTCACAATTCTTCAAAGATTTCTCACTAAATTTATAGGTTGTGGGGGGTCTATGTTCTCCTATTCCACATTCCATAACATGGCATTTATTCACATTAAATTCCATTTGCCAAGTGTTGCTCCTTATACTTATTTTGTCCAGGTCATCTTGAAGGGCATGACAATCATCTAAGTTTCTTATCCTTCCTATTATCTTAGCATCATCAGCAAACATGTTCATATAATTCTGTATTCCATCTGATAGATTGTACAGAGCCGTAATTGCCTCTAATTATGGCCCTCATTTTTTCTATCAGGAAATTTGTCATCCATGTTAGCTTACCTGTCACTCCTCCAATATGTTAGTTTCCAGAACAACCTCTTACGTGGATCTCTGTCGAAAGCATTTGTTATATAGATGCAGTCAACCCAACCATCTCTTTCCTGTAAAATCTCTGTGTCTCGATCATAGAAACTGAGTAAATTTGTTACACAGGATCTTCCAGATCGAAAACCATACTGTCTGTCTGATATTGTATTGTTTTTCTCCAGGTGTTCTACCCATTTAGTTTTAATTATTTTTTCCAATAGTTTGACTATTACACTTGTCAATGATACCGGTCTATAATTAAGGGGGTCTTCCCTGCTTCCACTTTTGTAGATTGGAACTATGTTAGACTTTTTCCACACATCAGCTACAACTCCTGTATACAGGGATGCCTGAAAAATCAGGTGAAGTGGAACGCTGAGCTCAGGTGCACATTCTCTCAGAACCCATGGTGAAACTCCATCCGGATCAACTGCCTTGTTCTTATTTCCTTGAGCATTTTTTCCACTTTGTTTCTAGGCATCTCTATGTGCTCTATGTTGTTCTCTGGAATTCTTATTGTGTCTGGTTCCCTGAAGATTTCATTTTGTACAAACACACTTTGGATTTTTTTGTTTCATGTTTCACACATTTCATTTTCCGTGTATCAGTCCCCCATTTTCAACCTCTGAATATTATCCTTTACCTGCAATTTGTTGTTTATGAATTTATAGAATAGACCTGGTTCTGTTTTACATTTGCAATCCCTTTTTCAAAATTTCTTTCTGCCTCTCTCCTCACTGCTGTGTAGTTGTTTCTCGCATCTTTGTATCACTGGTATGTTTGGAGGTTTGGCCTCTTCCTGTATTGATTCCATTTTTGTGTCTTTGATCTCTGGCCCCCTCAGAATTTCTGTTGAACCAATCCTGTTTCCTAGTTCTGCATCTCTGTTTTGGTATAAATTTTTTTGTGCTTTTATCATATATTTCTCAAAATTTGACATACATCTCATTCACTTCTTTGCCTAGCAACAAGTCTGTCCAATTATACTCACTAAAAAAAATTCTAAGTTTCCATAATGTCCTCTCCTGAAGTCAGGTTTTTCAATTACATCAACCTTCTTATTTTCTTCCAGATTATAACACATTGCAGACTTTATTCCCAAAAAGACATGGTTACTTTTACCCAAGGGAGGAAGGTACTGAATGTCAAATATCTCTTCCTCCTTCCTGGTAAATATCAAATCTAGCATGGAGGGAACGTCCCCTTCCCTCATCCTCGTAGCTTGTTTAACATGTTGATACAAGACTGTTTCCAGGATGAGGTCTACAAATCTACAGGTCCAAAAATCCTCTGTTCTAGCTTCATATGCTTCCCAGTCTATGGATTTCGAGTTTAAGTCGTCGACTATCAACAGTCGTGATCTATTGTTATCCGCTCTTGCTATAATCTCTCTCATTATTGTTATAAGACCTTCTCGTTTACTATCAGCTCCTCCTTTGACCATGTGGTGTTTGGCGGTGGATTACATACATTTATGATTATTAGTTTATCATCCTCATGGCAGATCTCTAGTGCTATTTTGTCAACTTCTTGTGGATTGGCAGTCATTATTTCGTTCACCTTTAGGTGTTCTTTCACCAGCACAGCAACGCCACCGCCTTTCCTAATTTTTCTGTCCCGTCTCCAGACTGAGTAGCCCCTTGGGAATATGACTTCATTTAAAATATCATTTTCAAGTTTTGTCTCGGTGAGTGCAACAATGTCTGGTGTCTGCAGCTGTATTACATCACTTAACTCCAGTATCTTCGATCTTACTCCATCTATGTTGGTGTATGCAATCTTCAGGAACTTGTTCCCCCTCTCCTTATTCTTCACACCCCCTCTCTCTATTGATTTTGTTGGTTTGCCTTTTGTACCATTTTACTGGCCTGCCTACCCCTTGAGGTTATCTTGAGGTTATCTTGAGATGATTTCGGGGCTTTTTAGTGTCCCCGCGGCCCGGTCCTCGACCAGGCCTCCACCCCCAGGAAGCAACCCGTGACAGCTGACTAACACCCAGGTACCTATTTTACTGCTAGGTAACAGGGGCATAGGGTGAAAGAAACTTTGCCCATTGTTTCTCGCCGGCGCCTGGGATCGAACCCAGGACCACAGGATCACAAGTCCCGCGTGCTGTCCGCTCGGCCGACCGGCTCCCCTAACACTTTGTAGAAAAAAGAATTGATTTCTTCTTTGTTTCTGCTCTCATTTAGACGTTTTGCCGCTGAGGTTTAGTTTCAGCTTCTCTGTCTTCTCTTGAAAGATCTCATCTTAACGACCATACTTTCCCATCCTCATCACTTTGTAATTTTCTAGGATTCCTTAGTACTTCTTCCTCTGTTTGGCACCTTTTAGGGTGATCCTCAAAGGTCGATCTCTCCCTTGTACGTACCTGCCTATTCTCCTGTAGTCGCACACATTCTCTGTGGTTGTAAGACCTTCCACGAGGCCAACAATTTCATCTACTACTTTTGCTTCTTCTACAGCTCTTTCTGACCTAGATGTTATCTCCTTTTCTTTGCAGCCAAAAATGATCAGGGACTTACTCCGCTCAACTGTGTTTTGCACCAACTTCGGGTTAGATGCCAATTCCTTTCTCACTTCCAGCCTAATGTTTGTTTTATCTTGGTTGCTGCAGTGTTTGACTTCCTTTACTGCTTCTTCAATTTTTTCTTTCTCCTTGGCCACTTGTGCATAGGTGAGTTGCATATCTTTCTTGCACTGTTCTATTCCCTGTGTAACTTCCTCCATCTGTGCTGACAAAAGCTGTTTCTCCTGTTGAATTTCTTTACCTAACCTATTGTAGTCATTTATGTTTAAATTTACTTTAACTTCTTCCAAAGCTATTTTTAAGAGTTTATTTTCTTCTTCCATGGCTTTGCAATTTGTTTCCAATTGATTCTTATCCTTGCACAAGTCTTTCACTAAACCCTCAAGACATACAACTTTGCTATTTAAATGGTCATTACTTTCTCTCAATTTACTGATTATTTCTACATGAGAGTTCACTATAGTATCTAATTTTACCAACTTGTTGTGTAGACTGCTAATATCAATGCTTCATTGAATCCCCCAAAATCAAGCCCTGTTTTGAATTTCCTCTTGCTGGTGGCCATCTTGAATGTTCTTCTCTGTACTGTAAACACTTGGGCAACTTTTTCTCATCCATTTTTTCACCTCCCTTGGCACATTCCTGTTATCTCACCTATTTTTCAAAAGCACTATACCTCTATGTTCTCTGGGACACCACTCACTATCATCATCCTGTACTACAATACTTAGGATTGTAGTACAATCCTAAGTGTACTTATGTGCGAGTGTGTGCGTGCGCACGGCAGTTTGACTGCATTACCTATCAAAATTGGACCAAGTCATCTCTTATTAGTTAGCAAATTGACACTAGATATGTTACTGTTATTATTACAACTTGTGACAACTTTCGTTATATAACGAAACTTTTTTAAATTCCATATAAAATGACAATTACAAAATCATAAGAATGAAGGAAACTGCAGGACGCCTATTGGTCCATATGAGGCAGCTCTTATTGGTCCACACGAGGCAGCTCTTACTGGTCCATACGAGGCAGCTCTTACTGGTCCATACGAGGCAGCTCTTATTGGTCCACACGAGGCAGCTCCTATTGGTCCACACGAGGCAGCTCTTATTGGTCCATATGAGGCAGCTCTTATTGGTCCACACGAGGCAGCTCTTACTGGTCCACACGAGGCAGCTCTTACTGGTCCATACGAGGCAGCTCTTACTGGACCACACGAGGCAGCTCCTATTGGTCCACACGAGGCAGCTCCTATTGGTCCATATGAGGCAGCTCTTATTGGTCCATATGAGGCAGCTCTTATTGGTCCATATGAGGCAGCTCTTACTGGTCCATATGAGGCAGCTCTTACTGGTCCACACGAGGCAGCTCCTATTGGTCCACACGAGGCAGCTCCTATTGGTCCACACGAGGCAGCTCTTATTGGTCCATATGAGGCAGCTCTTACTGGTCCATATGAGGCAGCTCTTACTGGTCCATACGAGGCAGCTCTTATTGGTCCACACGAGGCAGCTCTTATTGGTCCATATGAGGCAGCTCTTACTGGTCCATACGAGGCAGCTCTTACTGGTCCACACGAGGCAGCTCTTATTGGTCCATATGAGGCAGCTCTTATTGGTCCACACGAGGCAGCTCTTACTGGTCCACACGAGGCAGCTCTTACTGGTCCATATGAGGCAGCTCCTATTGGTCCACACGAGGCAGCTCTTATTGGTCCATATGAGGCAGCTCTTACTGGTCCATACGAGGCAGCTCTTATTGGTCCACACGAGGCAGCTCCTATTGGTCCACACGAGGCAGCTCCTATTGGTCCACACGAGGCAGCTCTTACTGGTCCACACGAGGCAGCTCTTATTGGTCCATATGAGGCAGCTCTTATTGGTCCACACGAGGCAGCTCCTATTGGTCCACACGAGGCAGCTCTTACTGGTCCATACGAGGCAGCTCTTACTGGTCCACACGAGGCAGCTCTTACTGGTCCACACGAGGCAGCTCTTACTGGTCCACACGAGGCAGCTCTTACTGGTCCACACGAGGCAGCTCCTATTGGTCCACACGAGGCAGCTCTTATTGGTCCATATGAGGCAGCTCTTATTGGTCCATATGAGGCAGCTCTTATTGGTCCATATGAGGCAGCTCTTATTGGTCCATATGAGGCAGCTCTTATTGGTCCATATGAGGCAGCTCTTACTGGTCCATATGAGGCAGCTCTTATTGGTCCATATGAGGCAGCTCTTATTGGTCCACACGAGGCAGCTCTTATTGGTCCATATGAGGCAGCTCTTATTGGTCCATATGAGGCAGCTCTTATTGGTCCATATGAGGCAGCTCTTACTGGTCCATATGAGGCAGCTCTTATTGGTCCATATGAGGCAGCTCTTATTGGTCCATATGAGGCAGCTCTTACTGGTCCATATGAGGCAGCTCTTATTGGTCCATACGAGGCAGCTCCTATTGGTCCATATGAGGCAGCTGCTATTGGTCCACACGAGGCAGCTCCTATTGGTCCATACGAGGCAGCTCTTATTGGTCCATACGAGGCAGCTCTTATTGGTCCATACGAGGCAGCTCCTATTGGTCCATACGAGGCAGCTCCTATTGGTCCATACGAGGCAGCTCCTATTGGTCCATATGAGGCAGCTCCTATTGGTCCATATGAGGCAGCTCCTATTGGTCCATATGAGGCAGCTCTTATTGGTCCATATGAGGCAGCTCCTGTTGGTCCATACGAGGCAGCTCCTATTGGCCCATACGAGGCAGCTCCTGTTGGTCCATACGAGGCAGCTCCTGTTCATATCCACCCAAACGCATTCATGTATACGTCTAGCCTACATTTAAAATTAGCCATCAGCTATCACATCTATTACAAAAGTTTGAATAATTATATGCAATTTGTCATGGCTTAATCATGGGCTTAATTTGTTTACATCTTTTTATTGCAGGAAGACGAGAGATTCTTGAGCGAGTTGTTTCACCAGTTGGGAGGCGACGAGGACGTTCCGACCGAGAAGCGGCGAGATCTGGTCCTGTTTCTGAAGGAGTTCTGCACCTTCTCTCAAACCCTCCAACCTACCAGCAGAGAGACGTTCTTTAAAGTGAGTCCACAACACCAGGCTGAAGAGGATTGATATGTACCGGCAGTATATATACCTGGTCCCCAAGGAGTCGCTGAGCCACAGATGAAACCTGTGCATCTTTGGGGTTGCTTGTGGCGGCTTATTTGTCTCTTATTACAAAAATTTGAGCTACGAGGTTGTCTATAACGACAATAATGTGAGGGTGACCTTGCAACGTATTAAAGCTCCTAATTTGTTTAGTAAATACTGACAAACCTATCCTGGTCGATGAAAGATAAATAGTTTAAGTGGACACGTAAATTTTAGATTAATCTGGAGTGGGGTACTGGAGTATACCCGGCAGGTGGTTGTGAGAGAGCTCCCCAGGTTTGCCTTCACTAATTATACTGGGACATAAAGCAACACAAAGACTTTAGGCAAGGCAAGCCTTTATTCAACTATAGAACACTAGAGTAAATCTCGTTGATGAAAGTGTTCAGTATAGTTTTGCAACATTGGTTACTAATAATCTCAAAGGAACAAAATAATCTCTAATAATAATAATTACAATAATCTCTAATAGAGCAAAATGTTCAGTATTGTACACACTGGTAAACTGTTGTACTTGGAATGATGACCTATTGTCTCTGGAATGGTTGCTGATTGTAATGAGAGTGGTGACCTGTTGTACAAGGAATGGTGAGCTTTTGTAGATGGAATGGTGAGCTTTTGTAGATGGAATGGTGAACTATTCGTTACTGTATGGTTACGGTAAGGTATGGTAATCCATTGTACTTTGAACGTTGAACAGCAGTACAGAACTGTAATTGTATGAATGATGGCCTTGTGGAAGAAAACTTAGACTTTTGCCTAATATGCAGTCATTAGCAGGGAATTTTAAAATATTCCAAGTGTATACACAATACACAGAAATCACAATAGTGTGATATATCAAATGAATAAATCCACAAAGGCCGCAATGAGGGTTTGAACTTAAGTCCAGGATGATCCCTGACGCGCCTTGATTGATTGCGCCACAACATGGGCGCAGTCGTCATTTATTCATTTGATATATCACACTATTGTGATTTGTGTGTATTGAAGTAAGGGCGAAGTAGAACAGCTTGTTGAGGAGCCCGAGTTCATGGGGAAATTGTGTAAAACCCCAGTTTGTGTCTTGGAGAAACTGCGGGATCCGTGTGAAAGCGGTAGCAATCCCAGGTGCAATTCTTATATACCATGTTGTGGCACAGTCGATTAAGGCGCGTCTGGGATCATCCTGGAAGTAAATTCGAACCCTCATCACAGCCCTTGTGGATTTTTTCGTTCCGATTGTAGTTTTGTATGTAAGCGGAGTCTTGGAGGAGGTCACAGACGACATTGTTGGTTGGTGACGTTTGTATGTAAGCGGAGTCTTGGAGGGGATCACAGAGACGACATTGTTGGTCGGTGGCAACATCGTTTTGCTCCAAGGGATATTCTTTTGGATTGTCCTCTCTATTGTGATCTCATTATGCAAGTTATATCTCCTCTTCTGCAGTCAACAAATTAATAATGGATCTTCACACCAAACGTAATAATAAATAGCATATCGTACTGGTAATAATCATGTTGAAAATTTTACAGTTAAAAATTCAATGAAGTACTGTATCTGCCATAGCTAAAATATAAGAAACAGGCTGGACAATGAGAATGTGTGAGATGAAACCAATGATGTTTTAAGTAAAGAGGACTCTAGGATGGAATACTGTTGCACATCAATGGCTTTACTTAATGGTAAAGAATGTACAGAGTACATTTTTTACCCAAATCCCTTAATAATTTACGTAAATTATTGGAACCCTAAGGTTGTACTACATGGGAAAATGTACAAGAGAAATGCATCGTTATTTACGTCTGGAAAACATTGGAGACCTGTTCCGCTCCGTCACATACCACATGACCCATATAATGGTTTATCCTTCAATTGATATTAAGCTCTGAAACTTGATTCATGTGTAATTTTCATTTTCATTTCTGTTGGTGTTGCTTTTGCAAGTCTTTGTGATGGCTATATAAGCAGATGCACTCTTAGATAACTTATTGAATAGTTGTTATAATTGTGTGGCATTTTAACTTTTTTTGTTGTTTGTTAAAAATGATCACATTTTGAATGAAGTGGTGATTACCCTGGCCGTCACGACCTCGTCTGACCCGCATGCTTCCCAACCCTACTTGGCCAAGGTGAACTGATGACAACCTTCACATCTGCTTCCCTAGACTCTGTCCAGCCTGGGGGTTTTATCAGCACTGGAGATCACTCTGGGCCTCGACGACGCCATCATCAAGTCCGCCTCCATCGACATTCTCAGTTACATTGTGGAGTTCTCGCCGTCCATGGTGCGGGAGTACATGATGCAGCAGCAGCATAAAACGGAGGAGGTAAGATCCCACTGTTCCTTCTCCCTACCACTGCACCGAGCACTGTTTATAACAACGTTGGTGTAACTTGTCCAGGGACGTGGGTTCGATGCAGTTGTAAGGTCGCAATATTTGCTCATGGTGGTGATAGCCTTGTTTTGTCATCCTCATTGGAGACCAATAGTTTCATTTGAATTGTAGCAACTGGGTGTATAATGGGTTTGATCATTCTTATAAATAAGAAGGAAAAGTAAAATAAACTAAATTTGTATGATTATTGCTACCTTTGCTAGCAATTTGCAGAATTTGATGTATCTGTTTTATTACTGTAGCTTAAATCAAAATAGATCCTTATTTGACTCTTAAGCACTTCTGTGCCAAGTAAAGAATTAGATTATCTTTGAATATATTTCTCTGTTTTATGGCATTTTATGCACTAACTAGTGTAGTAAGTTATCCTTACTAGTGTAATAAGAATGACACATAATATACATTTTAAGTGATCAATGTAGGTATTCAATAGGAGACGAGATTTAAAAACCCCACGCCACACACACAATTACATCACCCCTGTTGTACATATGCAGGCTGAGATTAGAATTAGGAAAGACCTGGGCAAATACTGGCTGGAAACGGTTACTGTGAATACATTACCAGGTAACTATATATATGTTAATGTTTAATTATGAGCATATACTATATATATTTAATTTGTTATTTAACAGGAGCAGTTCCTGCTAAATATCATCATTGAGCAGATGGTAGTGGACTCTGATCCTGAAATGGGAGGGGCAGTCCAGCTAATGGGTATCTTGAGGATCCTCATCGACCCCGAGAACATGATGGCGACTGTCACCAAGTCGGAGCGGGCAGACTTCCTCGCGTTCTTCTATAAACACTCCATGCACTACCTTGTAGGTAAGTCTCTGGCACTGCTGCTGCTGCTTTCTTTACTTTACAGTGATGTACTAGATTTTGACAATTTTGTGATTCATTGTGTTCCAATGGATGAAGAGTTTATCTAGTACCAAGCTTGTAATGCTGTGTATTAGTTTCTATTAAGTAAGACTTAGGATGTATGCAGTTGGGTGAATACCGTTTTTAAAGCGTGATTAAATCACATGAACGTGATACAGTATTTCAATAATGAAGTATCTCGAGTTTGATGACCAAGCCACACATCACAAATGAAGACACGGCGATATTTCTTGGTTTGGTCATGATATCTTTGGCTACGTTATTGTGACTCATTGTCTCAATCTTAAGTTTTTAAAAGTTTAGGAAGAACTTAGGTTGATTGAATTAATGTGTTAATTGTTTTAGACAACCAACCCTTAAAATAAAGGATGCGACAATATTTCGGTTCGTCGCCGCCTTTATTTTCTGACGCGTGGGGTGGGTGTCTTAATTTTTCAGATACGGCTTGCTATCTGCGTGTTAATATTTTTGTTTTCTGGGCCTTGATGGACGAGACGGTTATTTATTGCCTATGTTTATAGAATGTGGAGGGGTGGTAATGGTTTTGTGCCCCCATATCCCCCTAATACCACGGTGGGGAGGGCAGCGTGACAGGGTGGGCATCGTGTGGACTAGCTCTGGTTTCCTGTTTTTTTTTTTTTTTTCCATTTTTCTTGTAGTGCCTTAAATTTGTTACAATTTATTTCCTAGCCATTCTAGGTACTTTCCCCAATGATTTTTTTCAGGCATTTCCACTTGTTAGTTTTTAACTGTTGCCGTATTTACATCCTTTCCATGAATACTTTCACATCCTTCCTGTTCCTCTATACTTCCTCATCCTGAACCACAATGTTTTTCTATCCGTTTCCACAATAATTTGCTGTGATTCTTTTAGTATCTTGTCCCACAAAACGGCTTCATTATCTCCCCACCAGTACTATTCTGTCCTTAAGGTGGTAGTGTTTACTGAGGTGACTAGGATTGGCAGCTCTGTCAGCTGTCTAGCCTAACCTCCGTTTTCTTCTAGGACAGGAGCCCAACTACTTGGGCTGGACAGTAGAGAGGCGGTCTTGCTTCATGTGGGTCGGCATTCATTCCCCGACCGTCTTAAGTGGTTGGGCACCATTTCAACCCCCCCCCCCCATCTCATCCCATATCATTATCCTGACCCCTTCCTTCCCCAGTGCTATATAGTTGAAATGGGTTGCTGATTTCTCCTGATAGTTTCCTTTCCTTATAGGACAGGAAAGACAAGATGATGGATGAAAGGGAGAAATAGTTCAGTACACAGTGAAGAAAAATGACAAAAATCTGGTGCTGCCATCCCGAAAGGAGCGCACTTAAGCAGTGCCCTAGGAGATGAGCTGCTGTGCGATTGTGCTATCATACTGCTTCAATATTTTCTCGGATTGATCATACTTGTATGGTTTCATTGTTCAAGAGTAGCAAAGTGTGTATTAAGGTTACATGATGAGGATGAATGAGGTCTTGGGTAGTAAATTATGGCATTAAAAGTCTAAAAAGATTATATATGACAGAGAAGGGACAAACGTGTCCCCCCCCCCCTCCCCCAAGCTTGAGGTAGCAGAGCTGGAATATTGAGGTAATCTTTACCGAGCGTGATGTAATGTCGAGAAAAGGTTTCAATACTGGAATGGAACAAGAAAAGTTTTAATACCAACAGACTCACTCCATAAATGATGTTGCAGAACAAAGGCAGAGAACTATAGACTGATACACGCAGAAATCACAATAATGTGATATATAAAATCAACAAATCCATAAGGGCCGTAATGAAGGTTCGAACCCATGTCTGGGATGATCCCAGACGCGCATCTGGGATCATCCCGAATGTAGGTTAGAACCCTCATCACGGCCCTTGTGGATTTGTTCATTTTATAGACTGATTACGATAATGTATTGTCGGGTTAATCAGGCGGCCAGTTTGCAGGGCAAGAGATCTGTTCCCCTTCTCAAATATATGCTTGGAAGATATAATCATGATGCAAAAACACATGATCAAGCGTGAGAAATAGCAGTGTTTCATGAGGTTGTGGTTACTGCGAGCCTCATAATACATTGGTTTGTATCTGCACTTGGGTCCACACTTGGCAAATAATGCACCTCCTAGTTCTCTACCCCTACCCTCACTCGGTCTCCCCCCCCCCCCCCATCCCCATTGCCATACCACTTACCTCCCACTTAATCCCCCTCCACCCTCTCATACCCAACACCTCCCATATACCCTCCCTCCCTCCCTGACTCCTGCTTGGGAATCGACCCAAAAATGAAAACGTAATCCAAAGACTTGATGAATGTTGTGCCATTGACCTTGTTGTGATGCAAGAAGAAAGATCACACTACATTACATATTTCCTTCCTTTCCCTCGATGCTTTTCTTTCCTTTCCCTCGATGCTTTTCTTTCCTTTCCCTCGATGCTTTTCTTTCCTTTCCCTCGATGCTTTTCTTTCCTTTCCCTCGATGCTTTTCTTTCCTTTCCCTCGATGCTTTTCTTTCCTTTCCCTCGATGCTTTTCTTTCCTTTCCCTCGATGCTTTTCTTTCCTTTCCCTCGATGCTTTTCTTTCCTTTCCCTCGATGCTTTTCTTTCCTTTCCCTCGAGGCTTTTTTTTCCTTTCCCTCGAGGCTTTTCCTTCCTTTCCCTCGAGGCTTTTCCTTCCTTTCCCTCGAGGCTTTTCCTTCCTTTCCCTCGAGGCTTTTCCTTCCTTTCTTTCGAGGCTTTCCTTCCTTTCTCTTGATGCTGTTTCATCCTTTCCCTTGAGGCCTTTTCTTCCTTTTCCTCAAGGCTTTTCCATTATCTCTCGATGCTTTTGCGTCCTTTTCCCGTGAGGGTCTATTCCCCCCACCCCACAATTGTGGGAACTGGTGTGGGGGTAGTGATTCATACCAAATTTTCTTACTTTCGTGCATGAACTTCTCTCACAGAAATACTATGTGTTGCAGCACCACTACTATCCAACACGGTCGGCGACGAAGTGGGGCGCGAGGACTACTCGTCGGCGCAGCTCCTCGCCCTCATTCTGGAGCTGCTGGCGTTCTGCGTGGAGCATCACACGTACCACATCAAAAATTACATTGTCCAACGAGATCTGCTCAAACGAATCCTTGTCCTCATGAAGTCCAAACACACATTCCTTGTGCTTAGTAAGTGCGACAGTGTCTTGGGCTGCATTGCTGTTCTGTCGCTTCTCGTGTCAATATGTGTCTCAATGTTTCCATAGTTCCTGTAATTTGAGAAGTTAGGCAGGCGCGAGCGACGACAACTTGTTGTGCGTGCTGTAATTGAGACTTTTCTGTCGATAGGCGCTCTTCGGTTTATGAGGAAGATCATCGGGCTCCGCGATGACTTCTACAACCGCCACATTATCAACTCCAACCTCTTTGCACCAGTAGTTGACGCATTTGTCCGCAACAATGGAAGATATAACCTCCTGGATTCTGCCATCATCGAGATGTTTGAGTACATCAAAGTGGTAGGTGTCTATGTTGATCAGTGTTCATGTTATGTTGTTGTTGGTACATTTTCACTCGGTGCACTAGTTTTTATGTACGTTGCACTAATGGATGTTTACCTCTGTGTTTACCTGTTAGCACTTAGTTATGGAAGATAGTGCTTACGTTCTAGTATTTATTGTGGATTGTGCTCGTGTGTTAGGGAGGATAGTACACATGGTTGGGGGCACTGTTGTGAGTGTTGGTGCTCGCCCCTTGTTTGTGTACAGTGCACTCTGGAAAATAACTTAGATCATTCTGTAGTCGGAACGATCTACGGAACTATGTACCTCTATGAAACTATGTATTATCTACGGACTATGTACAAAATTTTTGGGCTATTGCCCTCATTTTCTATAATTTAATTCTCAAATGATTCATGGTATAATGATACCATGAAATACATATATAATCAAATGATTGTGTGTATTTTTAGACACTATTTTAAAACAATGATTGTGTTCATATTAAACAAAATTTTATTTAAACAAATGTGTTGACATGATTTAGTAGAAGCTGGTTTTGTAGGCCTATTGGGGGCAGCAAAATGCAGTTATGACGCACTGCTGTCTTGTTAAACTTGAACTGCTGTTAGGGAAAGCATTCTCAATGCCTGTGGCTGGTGAAGCAATCTTTCAACCCTAGGCTGTGACTGTGCACTGCCAGCCCCAGGGTGTGATGATTTTAAAATCACTGGTAAATGACCTTGTCTAAAGTCTTGTTCTTAGATTTTTGTTAATATTGCTGTTCTCCCTTTTTATTCCCAAATTATCTGATTTGTATTTGTGTTGTCAGAAACAGTACTACTAGTACCAATGCCTTACTCCTCTTCCGAGCATATTCTCTCCATTTGCCACTTCGGAAAAAGGGGCCACTTTCCCTAACCAGAAACGTATGAATGCAAGCAACCCATTTAACCTAGCAAGGCTGATGCATAAGAAAACTAAATATTTGGGTGCTTTAATTTTTTTGCTGAATGCATTAGTAGACTCCGTTAAAAAATGCCACATACTATGTGAGGGGGGCATTTGCCCTAACAGCCTCTTGCTCCTGAGCCACGGTCAGGGTTTCTTAACCCCCTGGGCGGCGCAGCTATTAATCAATAGCCGATAACACCGCCATGCGCAAGGAAAAAATTACATTTTTGTTTTCCTTCTAAGAGTTAAAATGTGTTCCCCGATCACAAGAAACTTAAAAAAATCATAGGTGCCATATTTTGGCCGTGGCAGGGCGGGGAAGTCTGACAAGATCCACACACACTAACAGAGTATGCGTCAAGGATCGGTCTTCTCCACCTGAGCCGTCAGCAGGGAGTTGCCATAAAGATATTATCTACTTATTTCAATGTCTGATTTTTTCTCAGGTTTTCTTGCAGTAATATTATCCAGTAGTGTGTAGTGTGATATATTTATATAATGTGTGAACCATTGCTATACTCAAAAGTATGGTGTGAAAATTAATGATTCAATTGTGTTCATTAAACAAAATATTTTTGCTGTTATTACAATATATACACACACACATTATATATAAGTAGCTGCATGTTTTGTTCACCATAACGAACCACAAAGCTGATATGGTGTCCAACACTATTGTGGCCGCCACACCAGTCAGCTGACGACGCTACCTCCCTCCCTCCCTCCCTCCTTCCTCCCACCACCATACTATGCACATCGTAATTCTCACCACAATGCTGCTGCTGGTGTCAGAATCCTGGTCACTAAATTCTGTCGGTAAATAATTTTCCATAAGTTTATTTTGTCAAGGAACATGAGAAGTCATTTAAATTTTTTTTAGATGGTCCAAACAATGGCAGTGTGCTGTGGCTACCTGCCTAACACTGTGAACATCTTGAACAGCATTGTGTTCACTGATATCTGAACATTGTACACAGTCTTTTATCACAGTCAAGTTCTTCTGTAGTACTATCATCACTAAATAGTAGCAGTTACATTACATTTTGACATTATTAGGCGATGGTCACAAGCTGCGTCTCCCCCCCCCCTCTCTCTCCTCCCCTCTCGTGTGGCTGCGTCTCTCATTAATCCTATGTGACTATTCCAGAAAATGTTTGCATAACTATATCACACTTCATTACACACACACGTCACAATAGCGTAATATATCAAAGGAAGGTTCGAAGCGTAGGTTCGAACCCTCCTCACGGCCCTTGTGGATTTGTGCATCACACTTATTTTATTGTCTCTCGGGTTATGATAAGTTTTTATTCATTTAGGCAGTTGAGTTATTTGCTGTTGTTTTTTCCAGGAGGATATCAAGACGTTGTGGATGAGTGTGGTAGAGAAGTTCGGAGAGGTGCTGGCCCAGGTGGACTATGTACAAACCTTCCATGCACTTCGCATGCGTTACGAACAGCACCAAGACAGACTTAAAGACAGAGATAGGAGTGCCTCTCTGGATGGGTAAGTTATGGGGTCCAGTTCACAGTGGGGGAATATGGGTAATAGTAGCTTTATTATGAAGTTATGCTTTACCTAGCTGCCACAGGGCATTATTTAGTTGTGGCAGTGATCGCAAAGTTGGCAGATATCATTTAGGTGTGGTAATGCTGCAGGGTTTTGCCAGATGTATGGGTTTGCCTTATACTATATAACTTCTTGCAGCTTTGTAACTGTATTTTATTGGCACAGAACATTGTAATAGTGAGTAATGTAGAAAGTTGTAGTGGATAATCTTAGTACAAGTTTGGCATGTTTGTGGAAGGGAATGTGCTTATCATTTGGGAGTTCAATGTTCACACTGACACGAACAAGAACTGCATTTTCAAAATAATTTGTTTAGTTTTATACATTATTAAAGCATTAAAAAGTTTTGTATTCAAATGTAGGATTGATAGTACATTAGGATGCATAATGCTACTATAATAAAAATATATATATATATAAAAGTTACACAATGCTATACTGTTGATGATTCCGAGGATCAACACAACCAGGATGCCAGGGGCCAGATTCAAGAAAGCACTTCCGAACGTGTACATCTTTCCTCAATCTTTGACGGCTTTGGTTACATTTATTAAACAGTTTACGAGCATGAAAACTTCCCATTCAACTGTTGTTGTTGTTATAAACAGCCTCCTGGTGCTTCGGAGTTCATTAACTGTTTAATAATTGGAAACAAAGCCGCCAAAGATTGTGAAAAGATGTGCAGGTACATAAATGCTTGCGTAAGTGCTTTCGTGAATCTGGCCCCTGGTCAATGGTTTGGTCAACCAGAAGTAATACACGCCTTGATCTTTTTTTTTTTTGCGCAGAATTGGAGGCGTAGTTAGAGGTACGCGGTATAGAAGAGACGTACGGGACCTGGACGAGGAGGAGGAGATGTGGTTCAACAATGATGAGGAGGAGATAGACGAGACGGAGCCCATTCTTCCCTCCAGAGACACAAATATCGCTCCAGTTGGTTAGTCGTCAATGCTTGACTAGTTGCCAGTTTATACGCTCTCAGTAATTTTAGTTCTCAGTTTTGTTTGGTGGATTTCTAAATATCTTCTGGGTTTGTTATTGGTCTTTTGTCTTTATCTCTATAGTTATTTACCTCTTACCTTGGGTCAGTAATCACTTTTTACATCTACCTTTCGTCATATGTTCTAGTTATATTTACTCCACTTGGTCAGGTGTCGGCTTTTTAACACTTTCGCGCTCTCGGCGTTCAAAAAAAAATCATACCCTATGCGCTTTCGGCGGTTCGCGCGCCTACGCGGTAAGACCGAAAAAGTGTACACTCTTTTGACTGTCCTGACAATAATTGAAGGCGCACGTATTTAAATTTGGTATCGCTGTGTTCGCAATAAAATTGTCTATAAGAACATACCTATAAAATGCCGCCAAAGCATAAGGACTATCAACACCAAATAAAAAACTATTCAGATCACTCGCCGAGAGCGCCAAACAGCAACAAAATGTTTCCACTCTCTTAATGGTTGCGAAGCCTACAGTTGTCCTACATCGCTAACTGTGGTATCATTGGAATCGCAATAAAATTCTCTACACGGACATATGCATATAAATATAGATTCAATGTCGTAGCCCACCCAAAACCGTGTGGGAAGTGGCCGAAGTGTTACCCGCGGTGGCATATCGGCAAAACTTGCTTTGAAAAGTGTATATTCAATTCACTGTCCTGACTTTATTTGTCGATGTATGTATTTCATTTTTGTACCAATGTGCTTGCAATAGAATGTTCTATAAGAACATAAGTATTAAAGGTCACATAAGGATGCATTCGACCGGCAACATATATAAAAACTACGTCGATTATACTCGTCGTGTCAATAATACAATTGTTTTACCACGATGATTCACTGCCACGCCGTTCTCTTTAATAAGCTGTTCGGCTATTGGAGAAAACGTAAATTTCATGGCAAACATTTGTAAACTATTCCCAAGTTGATCGGACAATAAATGGATTTTATACAAATATTTTTTCTTGTGACTCCCGAGAGGGGGTCACATTAATCACACGCGTGTGGTGTGATTAATAATACTGGTGACAACCACGGTCTGCTGGGATGAGCGAAAGTGTTAATTAGTTTTACTGTGTTTTACTGTGGCTGGTACTGGTAACTGATCTCTCTCTCTGCTTCTCATGTAGAAACAAACACAGAACGGAGATTTTTATTGGACCCGTGCTGCATGGGGCTTCCTTACCTTGCAATGATTTCAGGGATTAGTGTCCCTGCAGCCCGGTCACCGACCAGGCCTACTTGTTGCTGGACTGGTCAACCAGGCTGTTGGACGTGGCTGCTCGCAGCCTGACGCGTGAATCACAGCCTGGTTGATCAGGTCGGATTGATCGGATTTTTTATGTACACACACACCAAGACTGTTTTGGGAAGGTCGTGAAATGCCTTAACGTGTGGTGGGCCATTTATAATAGTCATGTTATGGAAGGTTATTTCTGTTGTAACCAATCTGAAAGCACACGGCATACATACACATAATACAGCACCTAACTTATTGGGATCGTCTCAAGGTCTCTAAATGTGCTCTCTAGAAAGGAGACGAGAGAGATCAAATAATATACACACATGAAAAATACAGGAGGACCAGGTCCCAAATCTACACAGTAAAATAACAACATACTGAAGTGAACGATGTGGAAGGAAATGCAGAATAGAACCAGTGAAGAGCAGAGGTGCCATAGGCACAATCAGAGGTCCACAGTTGTTCAACATACTCTCAACAAGTGTTAGAAATATTGCTGGAATAAAAGTGGACATCTTCATGCAAAAACTATCCCTAGAAGTGCCGGACCAACCTGGCTGTGGTGGAAATGTGGGCCTGCGGGCCACTCCAAACAAGAGCCTGGTGGACCAAGCACTCACAAGTTAAACCTGGCCTCAGGCCGGGATTGGGGAGTAGAACTCCCAGAACCCCATCCAGGCACAATCCAGATACAAGTCAACACTACTGAAAAAATGAGAATGTAGCCATAATGAATAATTCGCTTACAAAAGTGTCAATGCATAAATTACTGTTTTTATTTTTTAATTTTCTACAATACAATTACTACTGTATTGTAGTAATGGGTACCACAATACAGTAACCATTATACTGTACAGTGCATCCTTACTCTTAACGACTTCCTAGATGGTCCGAACTAAGTGAATTCAGTACAAATTGTTAAGCGGAATGTACAAATGTTGGATTGAGCGAGGATTATTGGGCCAAGTGTGCCTGTGGGTCGAGTGTCGGAGGTGGCTGTCGTTATCCACTATAACAGTTTACTTACACAAAGTATCCAGAGAGAATGGGGTCGAGGCATGACAAGATGGTGGCCTGGTGGTGGTTGTCAGGGGAGGCAGGTGGTGGTGGTTGTCAGGGGAGGCAGGTGGTGGTGGTTGTCAGGGGAGGCAGGTGGTGGTGGTTGTCAGGGGAGGCAGGTGGTGGTGGTTGTCAGGGGAGGCAGGTGGTGTTAATGGTGGAAGTTGTCAAGGGAGGCAGGTGGTGTCTGGTGAGTGAGCTAGGTCTATCTCGACTAGGTGGAGGCTAGCCCAGCTTGCCTCCACCTAGTCACCATTTGTACCCATTAATACTGTACTTTGTATGTACAGTACATTACCCTACTCCTTATTCCAATAGCAAACTGTTTGCTATTTCACTTTTATTAGTCCTGTGATATATAATGGCACCTCTATACTCAAACTTGATGGGTTCCAGAAGGCCACTCGAGTGCCAGTCTGTTAGAGTACCGAATATATTTTCTCACGTACGGAATAACGTAAATTGGATTAATCCGTCTCAGCCCTCTCCCTCTCCCCCTCCCCATACCAAATACACACACATTAATGCAATAAATGATTGAAATGAAATGCCAATATATTCTCACTTTGCCCTGCCCTTAGGAGAGTTGATGGCGTATGTGGAAGGTGGTGAGGCTGAGGAAGAGAGATGTTATTGTTTGGCGGGGGAGTCCCCTACCATAAAAACTTCAGGTAATTGTGCTTCTGGGCTTCTTTCTCTATCTCCTGTCTTTCTCTTATGTCCCTCTTGAGACTTGCTGGAGGCTTTTCTTACAAGAAACTTGTCCAGTGATGTTTGGTTTTTTAGCGTGCGTTTTAAGATTCCACGATAACATGTTTTGTCACGGCTTTATCAGGGGTGAGATTTTCCCAGAAAACTTTGCACTAATTTTAATTTCTTTTCATCTGTGTCTTATCACTAACTTAGGTACCATTGGGTGATTTATTTACACTAAGAATTTAAAAAAATATCCAGAAAAACATGAAAAAGTTTATGCAGGCGATGAGTCACAATAACGTGCCTAAAGTATGTTGACCAGACCACACACTAGAAGGTGAAGGGACGACGACGTTTCGGTCCGTCCTGGACCATTCTCAAGTCGATTGTGAATGGTCCAGGACGGACCGAAACGTCGTCGTCCCTTCACCTTCTTGTGTGTGGTCTGGTCAACATGAAAAAGTTCAGAGAAGTTTAGGGGTGTTGTGCACACATGACAGCTACTGGTACACCGACTCGTCCATTACTCATGTGTTCAAAAAGCAAACAGTCGACTACCTAGCATGGAGACAAGTCTTTGAGTGCCGAGTTGTTCGAGTTGGGAGCTGTTCCAGTATCGAGGTTCCTGTGTATTTATTCGAGTATATAATTGTTAATATGTGACAGATAATCTATTCCATGAAACTGATTTTACGTTTTAACTAACATTCGACTTGTTCTTAAAACCAAACTTGACTTTCATTACACTTGACTAGTGTTCATGCACACTCTTGAAGAGTTAAGATAACTGCTTGCAGGCCTTGATTTGTCCACAATTGGTTCATCCGCACCAACATCCGTAGTTTTGAATTACGTGTGATAACCTTTTCGGCAGATGTATGGTAGTCTTGTTTTCCAGTGGGTAAAGCATGCTCCAGAAATGTTTAATCAACATTATGTCAATTCATTGTTACATCGACGTCATTTTCTCAGATTTACCAGCGTTCTTTATGATTGGTGGTTCTTAATTGGCACTTTAAGTCTCCAGGAGACATGCTCTGTCAGTATGAGGTGTGTGGGGCATCCTGCCTCCCCCAACACCCAAGCTCGTCGCTGGTCTACAATCGTTGCAGGTTTATATATCTGGAGCTTCACCAACAGAGGAGAATTACAGCGTCCCTGCTATTGAGAGGAGCTTTTTCATGCAACCCACAATAGTTGTCTATATCTTGGGTAACTATTTTACTGCTAGGTAAACAGGAGTATCAGGTGAAAGGAAATATGCCCAACTGTTTGTCCCACTTGGGGACTGAACCTGGAATCCACAATTGAGAGTCGAAGACGTCGACCACTGTCCTACCCGAAGTCATTTTTGCGGATGGTTTGAATACTCTTTGTTTTGCTTGGGGCCCAAATTCTAATGTTGCATTAAGCTTGTGTATACTTTGGTTGCATCGCTTAACCTTGAAGCTGTGGACAGACAAACGTGGACAATTTTATGCTCGTGACACCTAGAGTAAAGTGGATTTTTCTCCTAATCCTCGTGTGGATTTTCATGGATGCCACATTTGACTACGGACATCATTCTTTGAAGTCCTCCATTTGAAAAGCTTTAGTCTCTAAGCAAGCTAAATTTTTATTTTTAAAAAAAGATTTGACAGCATGGAAGCATGGTATCCTATGAAATCTATATGGTTTGGGGTGTGAGGGAGGATTATCTTGAGATGATTTCGGGACTTTAGTGTCCCCGCGGCCCGGTCCTCGACCAGGCCTCCACCCCCAGGAAGCAGCCTATGACGGCTGACTAACTCCCCGGTACCTATTTTCTGCTAGGTAACAGGGGCATCAGGGTGAAAGAAACTGCCCATCGTTTCTCGCCGGTGCCCGGGATCGAACCCAGCATCACGTGTCCAGTGTTCTGTCCACTCAGCCACCGGCTCCCCATGTTAAGGATGCTCGTTTTTCTTAGTTTTCTCGAAATGTATGTTCGAAGAGTTGAGTAGGGCATGTTGGCTACTTCCCTTATTACCAGGAGGAAGGCAGCCTGTGGGAGCAGCATTGGCCTTACCATCTTCACCATTACAGTTGACAGTTTCGCAGATGAGAAATTATTGATGCTGTCCCATGTGTTGGGAGTGTACCCGCTTTCCTGTACAGCTTAATTCAGGAAAGTTCACTCACTATGGGCTCGACCGTGATGGGCTAAAAGTCGGCCAGATTCAAGTACAGTACTGTAGTACTGCACTAGCTAGGCTCACTTATCTGGATGATATGGAAAGGCCCCCTCGTCGGAGAAGTGGGAATTCTTACCGGGGAAGTCCAGAAGTTAACATTCGTAATTTCTTGTTCTGCAACCAAATTTCCACACGCGCTATAAATTGAAAATATAATTTAAAACAGATCTCATCTCATCTTGGTATAGTTAGTTTTTTTCTTTGATATTGTAGTTTGAAATGTGTAGGTTTGAAAATTTATGTAACCTAATCTCCGGTTATTTGGATTTCTGTCCGGATATGGTGAAGTTTGGCCAGAAAATTATCTGAACGCGACTTTGGTCGGATAACCTAAATCTTCGGTTCAACGGGCTTCGGATAACTGAGCTCGTACACTACTTCTGGTTGAGATGCTTTTAGCTCATCGTGGTCCAGCATGCGTGCGCGGTACGTCTCCAGGAGTGTAGGTTCAATTCCTTTGAACGGCTTCAATATTTTTAGGTATCATGTGCTTGTGATTTTGTTGGTTGTAGTTGCATGTCGGTGCTCTCCCAGAGGTTGTAAGTGTTGTGGATTGAGGGTTACCGACAGGTAGAGGTGCACGACTTGTAGCTTTCGCCCATGAAGACCTTGACTATGTGCCTAAGTCATATCTTTGGAACCCACCTACATCCACAGCAGTTTCAGCCCATCAATTGTGGTCCACTCGGTAGTGTGGGCGCCTGGTGAATTCTGATTTAGGGGGGTTGATCCTATTGTGTTGCTTGAAGATTTTCTCCCAGTACTGTTTCTAAACGTGATTGGGACACGCTGTGTGCCTGTCCCATCATTATTATCTAGTACCTCGCCTTTTAATGGATTTGGCGGCAGAAAATTAAAACACGGAGCTGTTTTGTGGAGCATCAGAGAATGATACCACTGTTATTCTATAACGTCGAGGACACAAATGGCTCACAGTATTGAGGAATTTAATGGAAGGATGACCTTTATTGATTATTGTGGGAAATTGTTTGTACAGTATCAATGAAATCGGGTTATTTGCAGCACTAGTTATGAATGACCTGTATTGATTTATTGTGAAAAATTGCTTATACTACTGTATTTTTTTCTACAGCTTTTTTGTTGGTGATGCAAGTATGCTTCTATTGCATATTGTTACAACTTTCAGATAAAGTGGAGAAGGAGAATGGAGCGAGCAAAATGTTGGGTGCCACGGGGAAGCAGAGTCTGCTACTCAACAACGGAAACAAGGACAATAATAATACCGCAGCGGCACTCTCACCCGAGGGCAACAAGTCTCCCGTCCCCGCCCGCAAGAAGGTTGGTCTGTTACAGCTTGTTTGGGGCTCCTTGGCTATATAGGCGATGGAAATGTGCCCAGTGTTCGTAATGAATTTTGATGGTGTTATCCATTACACCGGTTACCCCAGTATTGGCCAGACTGCATCGTACAATATATTTAGTGTTGTAAATAGGAGCTGCTTCATATGGGCCAATAGGCCTTCTGCAGTTACCTTCATTCTTGTGGTCTTATGTTGTGTGCTTAACACTTTCGCGCCCCCTTCGATGGTAAAAAAAAAAAGCGGTATGTGCGCGCGGCGTTTTTGCTGCGTAAGCGTAAAAACAAAAATGTGTATACTCTTTTTACTCTCCTTACCTTAGTTCTTGAGCTACGTATATCATTTTGGTACCAACGTGTTCGCAATAAAATTTTCTAGAAGAACATCGGTAAAAAAAGTCACGAAACGTATAGGGATACCAGCACCAAATAAATAACTACGAAGATGACTCGCCGTGAGCGCCCAACAGCAACAAAATGTTTTTACTCTTGGGATTGTTATCACCTCCACACTTGTCCTACAGCGTTAATTTTGGTATCAATGGACTCGCAATGAAATTCCGAACACGGTGGTATGAATATAAGCATAGAATAATGATTGCGGCCCGCCCGCAAGAGTGTGGGAAGTGGTGAAATTGTTACCCGGTATCGGTAACGGGACGACGCATGGCGCTTTGAAAGTTTATACTTATTTCACTCTCATGACATTAATTTTTTATGTACGTCATTCATTTTTGTGTCAATGTGTTCGCAATAGAATGTTCTATGAGCCCGTAGGTAAAAAAGATCAACAAAGCGTAAGATAGAATAGTGCCAAATATAAAACAACGCTGGAACATATCAGTGAGCGTCAAACACACACGAAATGTTTTTACTTTTGTTATGTTTGTCAAGTTAAACTTGTTGCACACAGTTATTTTTGGTTGTACATTGATCGGAATAAAATTCCCTAAACAGACATATGCATATAATACGTGATATGGGGGAAGCATTACCAGTATAAACGGCTAAAGTCACCCACCTGCAACCCGTTTGGGACATAATACCATTTGATCGAAGTGGTCCACACCTTTCATGAACTTATTGTACCATGCAGCCTAGTGGTGAGAAAGAGAGCCTCATGGCGTGCAGTTTGAAACAAACCCAAAGTAAATCGGATAAAAATTGAATTTTATACAAATATTTTAAAAGACATAACTTTGTCCACCATGCGGGAGCGGTTAGCGAAACAGGACGCCTCGGTGCGTCCTGATCCCGCGAAAGTGTTAAATTTGTAGTTTTTTATTTTTAATTATTAAATTTATTAATGTTAAATATTTTTAAAAGCCATTTGGGCTTTACATTGTAGGGATGTTTTAGCATTTTAATTGGCTTCTAAAATGATTGAATTGCTCACTCTGATGTCGGTTTACCATTTCTATGCGCGATTAGCACTTGACATGGCTTTGGGAGACACCGTGACATCTGGTTAGAATCAAAGTTCTGTCGTTTAGACTAGTATAAGACGCAGTCAGATATCTTCCTTGAAAGGAGTGACAGAGTTGAAAACCTTGGAATAATGTCAGATCTAATGGTTAGAGAAATGACAATAATACAAATATTGCAACAGCCAGGAAAATAGGGATGGATAATGAGAACTTTCGAACTAGAGATGCCACTCTAATGACGCTATTCGTTAAAGGGCTACGGTTATCTTTGCATATAGTATGTGTTCAGTCCTCTCATCCCTTTTCAAGCCAGGTGGAACCACCTCTCAAGAGATTTCAGAGCTGAAGTGTAAAGAAATCATTTATTGCTTGTGAAGCATTTCAATTACTGGCACAGACTCGAGATACTCGCACTGTAATTGTTGGAATGAGGATGAGAAAGCTATCTCGTACCATAAACATGAAGGATACTTGAAGGTTGTATTCCAAATCTGCATGGTAAAATTACAACATCCTGGCATAAGAGATACGGTAGGAAGTGCAAAATAAATTCTATGGAGTCTGGGTACCATAAGCACAATTAGAGAGCACACTATAAGCTTCAATGACCCGTGATCACTCTTCTTTCCATTTATGACAATTTTCTGCCATCAGATATAAGAAATGTTATTGGAACAATAGTGGAAGCGATCAAAAAAGAACTGGATTGGTTTGTGCGAAGTTACCAGACCAGCCAGGCTGTCATGGCCATACACAATTTTAGACTTTGGGCCACACAAACAAACAACCTCACTGACCAGCCAATCAGGGAAGGCTACAGTAATAGAACTCAAAATCATGGAATTGTCTTCATCGGTCCATACAATTTGGGTTGTGAACGTAGCCAACGGGCATGAACAGGAAGATCATGCCTCTTACAACTACTTGACCATAACGACAAAATCACTGAGGCATTAGAAGAAAAACAGAATGCAGATGTGGTATACATGGATTTTGCAAAGGCATTTGATAAATGTAACCATGGAATGATAGCACACAAAATGAGGTCAATGGGAATAACTGGTAAAGTAGGACGCTGGATACTCAGTTTTCTGTTGAACAAAACAGAGTAACAGTCAACCATATAAAATAGTCCAAGCGCAGTTAAATTAAAAGCTCGGTACCTCAAGGTACAGTTCTTGCACCACTGCTTTTCCTTATTCTCATATCAGATATAGACTCAAATACAAGGCATAGCTTAGTATCATCCTTTGCAGATGACATGAAAATTAGCTCTGCCGAAGACATTAAAACCTACAAGCAGATATTAATGAAGTTTTCGGCTGGGCAGCAGAAAATAACGATGTTTAACAGTGATAAATTCCAGGTACTCAGATATGGTTAAAATGAGAACCTTAAACATAATACAGTGTACAAAACTCAGTCAAATTTGCCCATAGTAGGGAAGCAACATGTAAAGGATTTGAGAATAATGATGTCTGACGACCTAACGTTTAGGGAGCATAAAGCAAATATTGCGGCAGCCAGAAAAATGAAAGGATGGATTACGAGAACTTTCAAATCTAGGGATCCCATCACAATGGTTGTACTCTTCAAATCATTTGTGTTGTCCCATCTTGAGTACTGCTCAGCACTCGCTTCCCCATTCAGAGCAGGAGAGAGATTGCTAAAATAGAGGGAATACAGATAACATATACGGCACGCATAGACGTGATAAAGCATCTAAATTATTGGGATCGTCTCAAAGCTCTCCAAATGTTCTCGCTCAAAATAACTTTAAATAACTTTGCTTAAAAATTAATAACCCAGTCCACACTAGAAGAAAATGGTGAATTGACATTTTCCCTCCCACTACTTGGCAAGATTCGTGGACGGACCCAAATATGTCACATTCTTTTTCTTTTCGTGTGTGTGTGTGGATTGGGCTCTTGTAGAATAGTGTTTGAAATATAACTGAACTGTAATGTGTAAGATTTTTTTTTTTTTTTTTAATACAGTGGCACCTCAATTAACAAGTTTAATCCGTTCCGGCACCAAACTCGTCTTGTGAAACAACAACAAAACTGTCGTAAAAGGTGTCCGATAACCAGCAGAAACGCTCGTTAATCGAGGAAAAGCTCGTTAGTAGACACAAATGTTCTGCGAGTGTCTCGCTCGTCACTCAAAATGCTGGTAGATAGAGCCGCTCGTTAATCGAGGTGCCACTGTATAATGAAATTGATGCTAAATGTACAATGTTTAGAAAATCTATTAACTTGTTTCTTAATCCCCTTGGCCGGGCTGGGCGATAATGGTGGAATCCAGAGAAGTGAACTTGTGAAGCAATAGACAACCGTGGTCCACATGCCTTTAAAACCTTATCCACGTTGCGTAATGGTCGTCCAGGTCCTTTGACGTTCACGACAAGCCCCCTGACTCCGTAAAGGGGTCGGCAGCAAAAGCAGCAGCAAAAAAAAAAAAAAAAAAAAAAAAAAAAAAAAATGCCCTGTGTGATCATCAAAGTTGGCAATTGTGCTGCCATCAAACACTCCCACCTCAAACTTTTTTGTTATAACAAGTTGTGTACAATAAGAATAAAGCCCTATATATTATATTTATGGATATTGGAATCTATTTACAAGCTGGGAAGAGATTATTTACAGTACAGTAAAATAATGTTTTCATCTCGTTAAAGATCCATTCACTTTTTTTTCCTTTTAATGATTCATGGTAAATATGAAAAGCATTTATTTTTCCCTAATTAAAAAAAAGTTAAAAATCATAGATCACTGAGGGGGAAAAAAAGGTCAGCGCAGTCGTGTTAAGTTTTCCCAATGTCAAGAAATTGTCGTATTAAAGTTCCCTAATGTGCCAGAGGCTCAAAACAAAACGGGATGGTGCAGTACATCACATTTGGCAGCCACTACCCTCTGCTAGTACGACAAGATTTATCCTTAAGTAGTGTATATAAGTCAAAATGCGACGCTCTGTTAGGGGGCCAGATTACGCCAGTATAGGGGGGAGGGGGCAGCATTAATTTTTGGCTGCAATTTGTGTTCAAAATATGTTGTGTTCCTAAGTAAATTTTGTTTATATGCTGTATTTATGACAACAAAATCGCTGCTTCGCTAACTTTAACCGATTGGAAACGAGTCCGCCTGGTCGTGTCGTCTTGTTGTTGGGTATTGTGAACATTTATATAAATTTTGTCTCGATTTATTTCATAAATTCTTTAAATCATCATAAGTTTAAAAACAAAAACTATCAATATCTGACCTGGAGGCTTGCCTTAGCCCCTATACTGTGCACCTGTTTTGTGTGACAACTTCAACTTGTGTGCTAAACAAAATAATAAAAAAAATTATTTTTCTTTAAAATTCTGTATTGGTAGAATGCATTTCCTGGTCACAGGAAATTAAAAAAAATAATTATGTAGCGACATATGCGATCAATTATGTAGCGATCATTATCTGTGCCAGAGAAAGTAAGCATCGTAATGATGTTACGTATTCACGATCACAGTCACTAAATCCTGAATGTGAGTAATTTTTCACATTTATTTTGTAAACGAACATGAGGCCTCCATTGCATAATGTGCAGAAGCTGGGAACAACGGCTGTGTCCGTTTTGTCTTGCTTTGGGAACATCGTCAGCAGGATCCGCTGCCCGTAGTTGCCATGTTAGTACCGAGGCCCATGTACCCAGGAGGGGTGGCCAGGATTTATTTCCCAGGAGGAGTCTGTTTACTGGAGATGCAAGGAAAACGATGTGAGCCCTGTGTACTCGTGGGAGTTTTAAATCTTGAGCTAAATTTTCAAAGTGTCTGTGGTTGATGTGTGCAGTTGAAGCGTTAATCGCTCGTCTCGCAATAAGATCCTCGGTGAAACTTGTGCCATTGATGTTGCTCGGCGTCGATCCTCGGCGACTCCAGTACCTTTGATGTCACCTTTTTTTTTTATGTTTTTTAGCTCTAGTAAATGGCATTGAGTGATTAGGCCTTTCTGAATATCCCATAACACCAATGGTGTTAAATAGTCTTCCTGGCTTGTTGCCCTCTTTTGATAATATATACTGACCCACAGGTTGGAATTTCCGCGCACCTGGTCTGTTTAAAATGAAATAGTGTGCCATTATGAAGATGACTGTCTAGTGTCTCAGATCATAGTATTTATTATCCTGCAGCTCACTATGAATCGTTGTTTTCCAGTTTAGGAATAAAGCATTTTCACAAAAAAGTTGATTTACGGTGACCATTTGTTTCATGTTTGTATGTCTAGGAATTACCTTAATGTATTTTCAAGATTAGAGGTATGCTCGTAGGGATTCCATCGTCACTCGTGAGTTGTCTATTGTTCACCAGGTTGTGTGGTGCGTGCACGTCGAGACTGATCAGGAGTTCAGGGTTTGAAAAGCCTTGCAAGAAAGCAGTATGTCAGTACTTGGGAAAAGAGTCTGAGAATGGAATAAAAAAAAAAAAAAAGATAATGCAGACTTTGAAAGTTTTTGTTCGTGGTTATCTTGAAGTGATTTTAGGGCTTAGTGTCCTCGCGGCCCGGTCCTCGACCAGGCCTCCTTTTTGCTACACATCCCCAGGAAGCAGCCCGTAGCAGCTGTCTTAAGGGGTCAATAGGTCAGTTTTGGAAAAGTTGTTCAGTGTCAACCAATATTTTTTGACTAGTTGTATATGAAAAGTGCTGCAATTGTCCCAAGCTTCAGTACTGCTGTGTAAATAGAAAGGGAGTTTTTTTTTTTTTTCAACATTTTTTACACATTTTCAAGTCTGAATGAATAAACACACGTTTCAGATATAATTATTCTGTGACACTTTTCTGACACATTAGCATATAATAAAGGATCTTTAGATACATAATTTCCAAAACATTTTTAGTTTTCCTAATACAAATTTTCAAAGTTCCCCCCAAAATTATGCAAATATGGCATGTTTATTGCTATTATAAATTCAATAAATAAACTTAGAGAAAAAATCTATCAATCAAATGTAGACACATGCACTCTACATATACTGTGTAAGTTTCATGTAAATTGAATAAAAAATGAAAGTTTTGTAAACGTTTGTCAATTAAAAAAAAAAACGGCAAATAATAAAGTCTAAGGTTCTAAAATCTGTGGCTGAGGTTGACATCAATCAATTTTCTCCAAAATTGGCATCCTTACAGATAGGCTTACGTGCAGGCAGGTGTATAAGTTTTATGTAAATCGTCAGGAAAAAAAATTGAAAAAAAAAAATCATTTTTTTTTTTAACTTAAATTTGTTTCCAATTAAACTAATTATAATATTTGTTTAATATATGCTATTGTGATAGCTATGATTTCAGTTGACACTTGTGTTTGATAATCGTTTTTGACCATTTTGGCATAATTTTCACACCTACTTCAATATTTTTTTCTCCCTTCCTATTTATACTACGATACTGAAACTTGGACCAGATGAAACACTTTTCATGTAGAACTTGTCAAAAAAGTTTGATTGAAATTGAACGAGTTTTCATTTACTGCATTTTTGCGGCAAATTGGAACCTAATGACCCCTTAACTCCAGGTACCTATTTACTGCTAGGGGAACAGGAGCATCAGGGTGAAAGAAACTGCCCATTTGTTACTGCCTCCACCGGGGATCGAACTAGGAACCTTAGGACACTGAATCCTGAGCGCTGTCCACTCAGCTGTCAGGCCCCGTCTTATATTTAATTAAGCATACTGTATTGGAATTTATTTACAAGCTGGAAAGAGCTTATATTTGGATTATTGTTTGGTGGCATTGGAGGGTAAATGTTCATCATACAGTGATGCTGTTCATCATACAGTGATGCTGTTCATCATACAGTGATGCTGTTCATCATACAGTGATGCTGTTCATCATACAGTGATGCTGTTCATCATACAGTGATGCTGTTCATCATACAGTGATGCTGTTCATCATACAGTGATGCTGTTCATCATACAGTGATGCTGTTCATCATACAGTGATGCTGTTCATCATACAGTGATGCTGTTCATCATACAGTGATGCTGTTCATCATACAGTGATGCTGTTCATCATACAGTGATGCTGTTGACCATCTTTTGGTGTTGGTACATGCATGTTCAGCAGGCATAGCCCCTTTACACAAGGGAGGGAGCCAAGCATTGCCAAAGAATTATAGACCAGTTGCACTAACGTCCCACATAATAAAAGTATTTGAGAGAGTAATTAGGAGTCGGGTCACTAGTTTCATAGAGACCAATGACCTCCACAACCCAGGCCAACGTGGATTTAGAGTAGGAAGATCATGCCTCTCACAGCTACTTGACCACTATGACAGTCACTGAGGCATTAGAAGAAAAACAGAATGCACTTGTAGTATACCATGGACTTTGCAAAGGCCTTCGATAAATGTGACCATGGCGTGATGGCACACAAAATGAGGTCAATGGGAGTAACTGGTAAAGTAGGACGGTGAATACTCTATTTTCTGTCGAACAAAACGGAGTAACAGTCAACCAAATAAAAAAGTCCAAGCTTAATTATAAGCTCTGTACCTCTGCTTTTCCCTTATTCTCATATCAGGTATAAACAAAAATAAAAAGTCAGCTTTGTATCATCCTTTGCAGATGACACAGAAATCAGCATGAAAATTACCTCTGTTGTAGACATTGAAAAACTACAAGCAGATGTTAATAAAGTTTTCGACTGGGCAATGGAAAATAACATGTTTGAGTGATAAATTCCAGATACTCAGGTACGGTAAAAATGGTGACCTTAAATTCCAGGGTGCAAACACAATCAAATAGGCCCATAGTAAGAAAGCAGTATGTAAAGGATCTGGGAATAATGTCTGATGACCTAATGTTTAGTGAGCATAACCCAGCAAATATTGCGTTGGCCAGTAAAATGATAGGATGGATTACAAGAACTTTTAAATCCAGGGATCCCATCACAATGGTTGTAGTCTTCAAGTCACTTGTGCTGTCCCGTCTCGAGTACTGCTCAGTACTCGCTTCCCCCTTCAGAGCAGGAGAGATTGCTGAAATAGAGGGAATACAGAGAACATATACGGCACGCATAGACGAGATAAAACGCCTAAATTATTGGGATCGTCTCAAAGCTCTCCAAATGTACTCCTAGAAAGGAGACGAGAGAGATACCAAATAATATACACATGGAAAATACTGGAGGGTCAGGTCCCAAATCTACACAGTAAAATAACAACGTACTGGAGTGAACGATATGGAAGAAAATGCAAGATTGAACCTGTGAAGAGCAGAGGTGCCATAGGCACAATCAGAGAGCACTGTATAAACATCAGGGGTCCGCGGTTGTTCAACGTCCTCCCAGCGAGCATAAGAAATATTGCCGGAACAACCGTGGACATCTTCAAGAGAAAACTGGACGGTTTTCTAAGAGAAGTTCCGGATCAGCCGGGCTGTGGTGGGTACGTGGCCCTGCGGGCCGCTCCAAGCAACAGCCTGGTGGACCAAACTCTCACAAGTCGAGCCTGGCCTCGGGCCGGGCTTGGGGAGTAGAAGAACTCCCAGAACCCCATCAACCAGGTATCAACCAGTGGAAATGGGGCATAATAAATTAACTAGCAGGCAATTTTATTTCTTAACAACATAGAATTGCACTATAACACTGCAAAATAAAGAGGACATGATTGTCAACAATTGATTTGGATTGTCTTTCAAATAAGGGACAATAGGCTGAGAGAATACAGGTGTAAGTTCAGCACATGTTGAAGAGGCGTCAGAAAATGCAAGTGCTTACATCCTTGGTAAGGAAGTGTGCTTACCTGTCTGTGATGGAGGGACGCGAGATGTAGCGCTATATGCCCCTGCAGCCTTACCATTTACACCTGGAATGCTGGTATTGTTTTCTTGCAGAATGAGCTGAGGATAGGAGTTGTGGATGCCACCCGCATTCCGTGCCTCGGGAGCATGTACCATAGAGCACTAGAGCATCAGTGGAGATAAAGTACCGTGTCTCAATAGCTAGGAGATGGTGCCCAAGAGCCCTATCTTAAAACACTGATAATCAGTTCAAGGCAGAGTATATATATAATGTATTGTCCTATCTGATGATGTGTTATTGGGAGTACAAGTATGTGCATATGCCATACTATATTATCTGGTGATGTATTCTCAGAAATATATATGTTTCATATACCATAATGTATTCTCTAATGATGTATTCTCACAAATGTGTCTCGGATGTTTGTCTATAGTATTTAAGTTCAAGCCTTTCACTGTGAAATCACATCAACATGATGAATCTGTGGATGAATATTGGGGCGTTATATTGGGATCGAACCTGCACCCTTGATCACCTTGGTCACTACTCATATATGGGCCTAAAAATATGCCTAAGGTGATAAAGTACACAATAAAGATAGAAAGTCTGTTATTTGGCTTCGGTATTTTCTCAGTTAAAGCTTTGGCTCTGTTTACTTAATGTCCACAATGTAACTTTGTGGGTTGAAGAGATGGTCTTGTACCTAAATGAACAGAGTTGATGCTAGTAAATTTACTGGTTTCGTTCAGAAAATTTCCCATTTTAATAATGAGTGTCTACTTTCAGGTAAGTCTTGTGGCATACGATGAGAATTCTGATGAGGAAGATGAGGAGGAGGAAGAGGAAGAAGCTGGGGAAGAGGACCAGGAGGAGGAAGAGGAGGAGGATGATGGTAATATTCCGTCTGCAAAGAGAGCACGATTAAGCAGTGACTGAGGGCAAACGAGTGGCTGAATCAACAGTCAGTAAAACTATGGGTTAGGCTGTGGTGCAGTGGGCAGGGTAAGGTAACCGCTCTGAGGTGTTGTGGAGCGTCGCCGCAGCCCCCGAGGTTGTACCCAGGGTAGAGGTAGGCACTTGCCGGAACCTGCCTGGCACCCGACTTTGCCGCGATGCCCACCCATGACAGTGTACACTGTGGCATTGATTGCCACCGGCCCAGCACTGCCACCGGCTTGTTCAAGCTGCACCCACTGCCCACCTGCCCACCTCGTGTACATAGCCCGCACAATGCCTCACACCCATGTGTACAAATCCTTCTGTATATGTGAGCCAGCAGCAGCAGCAGCTCTGGGCCTCTTTGGACCCATGCCACCGTGACCAAGAAATAATGGACATTTTAATGGAATATTTTTATATAGTGTAAAATTGTTATTGACAGTGTTAGTACTAGTGTGTGTGCTGAGGGCCTAAACATGGTAGTGAGACTGGCCAGAAAATGGGAAGAGGTTTGCATAGACTTAAGGACTGCTCTCTCGCTGCCTAGTGCGTCCAACGTCCCGTTGCCATGAGTGTGAGGGGCACCTCCGACATCCTGTTGCCCATGATTGTGAGGGGCACTGCCATCATCCTGTTGCTCATGATCATGAGGGACGCCTCCCTCCTCCTGTGCGCGAGTTCGGTGCAACCCCCTGAAGAGGACACCACGACCAATCGCCGGTGAGGGGCCCCGCCAAGGAACCAACCCGACACTCTGAAGGACGCCGAGACTTCACCTGACAAGAACTGTGCCTGGGCCTGTGATACGCTCCCCCAAGCCTGCTCCTTTGCCCTTCATCCCGGAACATGTGATCAGCAGCCAAGATAATCTCAGTATTGGGTTCCACAACAATACACACTTGGTGCTGAGGACACGCACACAAGGGGAGCAAGCTAGGCGGACACGATGGCAACAGCAGTAGGTGGTAACACGTGCGTGCATTTACAATCATCGCAGAGGATGTTGTCATCGACCATTTCATTAAACTTCACATCTTGTCTTTTTTGGTTCTTTTATCTTGAAAGAACGTTCACATTTTAAATGCCCGTCATTTTGATAATCACAAATGTAGGGGCCATTTCTCCCTTCGTGTTTCCTCCTAACAAAATGTTTACATGCCACCATATCAATACCCTTATTGAAGATTCAGTAAAACAGAATTTTAGCCAGGATTTGAGAAATTGTTTTATGCATTTTTCTTGTTAATCTATGTTCTGAAATTGTAAGAGAATGTTATATTTGGGATTTGTATTATGCACATCCTGGAGGTTCAAGGTATTGTTCTCAGGAATAGTGCTGTAAAATGCATTTCATAATTTTGCCCAATTTATCATGGGTTTATCTGCTCCACCTTATGTTTCCGTCTTCAGAAAGCTGAAGACGGAAGGTATTAGTTACTGAAGTTATTTGCTTTATCAGAGACACTAATATTGGTAATGATTTTTGGGTATTCTTATAAAAAAATATAGAAAGTCTGTGGCAGTGCTCTTATCCCTTTAAAATAGTATTTTTGGTTATAGCTGGTTTCATAATGGCAGCGTTTTCTCACATCAGGAAGAGTACGACTTTAAATTACAGATGCTCACCTGTTTACATTGATGTTCCTCTTCTAGAAAATTGGACAGAAAAATCTTATTTATTAATTCTAGTGCCCATGTAACTAACTACAGGAGTCTGAAATTAATGGGTTATCAAATTTCATTTAAATGTAAAAACAGGTGAGCTTGTATGAACCTACTGCTGTTGACATTGTACCGACTGAAACGTTTCATCACCTCCGAAAGCTCTTTTTTTTTCTGAATTGTAGAGTGTAAAATACCTACTTTTGTCGCCCACATTAATGCAAGTTTGCTCAAATTTTCCCCCTTTCATTGCCACAGTTGTCAAATGTTCAAGAATACATTGGCTGCCAGAATTGACGTATTTTACATTTAGTTTTAACACATTTTATATTTTGAAGGTAATGGAGCAACAGAGAATTATTGTAAATGCCATTGTGGATTCACTACTACTTTGTAAGAAGAACTCACCGTTGTCGTGAAAGCGAAGCCCCCAAACCAGAGTTTGTTTTCAATAAATCAGACAAATTTATATATATATATAAATATATAGTTTTTTCTTTCAGTTTTAGTATTATGTACATACAGATTGGATTATTAGGAAGATTATGTATTAAGATCCGGCTTGTTCTTGATTTACTGTGATACCTCAATACACTATCCGAAATCTTTGATATTTTATATTTATTTTTTTGTAGCACGTGTAATGAAATATTGATGAATTTGATATTTGATTCATAGATTTCCATTTTCAAAATCTGGTCTGCATGACCCCATTTTTTGTAGGGATTACACGTCTATTGGTTATCCTGTCGTCGTCCTCCCCGGGGCTTCTCTGCGTCACGGTGACACGAGGCTGCCATCCTGGGCCGGGATTCATCAACCATTGACGCAACCACTACCACAACTCTTGACATCTTTGTGTAATTATGGCGGCTTCGTTTACAGTATTACACGGTTTGAGCTTGGACACTTGGAGCAACCAATGGTTGTTACTGTTTATAAACAGCCTCATAGTAGTTTTGGAGCTCATGAACTGCGTTTTTAATAAATGTAAAGAAGCTGCCATGATTTGAAGGAAGATGCATAGGTGTCGTAAGTGGGTGCATAGTGCGTGATGAAGCCCCCGGCCTTGATCACCATCATCGAGCCATCACTCATCACCTGTCATTGTTATCACAGCAACACACACAGTTGGTACGCGCGGCGTCTTCTCCAACCTGCCAGTCTTTGTTATACAGTATGAGGCCTCTTTTGTAGTAACTTATACACACAAATACTGAATAAAATGGGAATAATTTTTAAAATTTTATGTTACACCCCCCCCCCCCCCCCCCCCAAGGTACTCGACTGGAAAACAAAACTTGAAATTAGAGCTGTTTTATTACCCTTTGAGGTCAATTGCCCCTCGATACAATCTTTGGAGAATTGGATACATTTGACTCTGATAATGGTCACCTTATTTGTTTGCCTTTTTATCTTTTTTTCCCACATTGGGATCCCAGGTGACACGTATTATCTGTTTACTGTCTCACGACAATGCTAAATAGACAGAAATCACATTGTGCTATATCGATGTATAAATCCACAAGAGCTTTGAAGACTCAACCTCAGCACTGGATGGCGCAGTGGACTTGAGCGCGCCTGGTAACCCCCAGCGCATAGGTTCGAGCCCTCATTAAGGCTCTTGTTGATATGTTCAGTGGTAAATAGTCTTCCCAATTTGGTGCCTTTTGATAATTACTGTATTTCTACATAGTTTTAAATAGTCCTTTTGGTGCTTTCTGTTGATGCCAAGAGAAAGACTTGCGCTTGTGACAAAGCACAAGTCAACACTCATCAAACAAGCAAGACTAACCACTGAGCACTTGAGCTTCTGGCTTGAATCCTTAAGACAATTTATTGAACTATACAAGAGAGGGGTTTGAATTGATGAGTCCTACCTGGTATTTCATAAGTCATGGGCTCATTTTAATGTTTTCCTGCATTTTCTTTGCAATGTGTGTATGGCAAGGAAATATTTGCCATTGGAGACTTTTGGTGCCATACAGCATGGGACCTGCTGAATGGGTAACAGCTTGTCAACCTACCCTGGCTTTGCGCCCTGGAGAGGCCACTCCAGACCGACAACCAGATTGCAACTCCATAGTCTCCTGAGAGTGATGGATGCCTACTACTATGTGTGGAAGCATTTGAGTGTTTGTGAAGGTTATCTTGAGATGATTTCAGGGCTTTAGTATCCTCGACCAGGCCTCCACCCCCAGGAAGCAGCCCGTGACAGCTGACTAACACCCAGGTACCTATTTTACTGCTAGGTAACAGGGGGCATAGGGTGAAAGAAACTCTGCCCATTGTTTCTCGCCGGCGCCCGGGATCGAACCTGGGACCACAGGATTACAAGTCCAGCGTGCTGTCCGCTCGGCCGACCGGCTCCCTACGTTGCAATACCGTACACGGATGCTAAGGTTAATACTGGTTTATAGGTGTTGCTACAGTAGTATCATTTTAGCACGGCACCATTTTATGGTGTTTGAAGCCTTAAGGGTTAGGATGCAAGGCAGGCAACTTTTGTCTCATTTGTTGATTTGATGCTGTCATTAGTTTGAAGTAAAGGTATACTACAGAAGTCCTATATTAACCCTACCGAGGCGGCTGTTATTGACATCCACTCATGACGACTTGTGTCATGGATGACAAGACATCCACCTCTGTGTACAGTGTTGACAAAGTAGACAAGAATGTCTAATTATTGATATCTACGTTAAAAATATCCATCCACTTGGATATTGTATGGATATCAATACAATATCCAAGTGGTATTCACAAGACCACTTGTGATCTTGACTTGTGGATCACAACTTTTGGTCTTGTCACATCCACAAGACTTGACGTGACATCCAAGTCACGAGTGGAGTGACTTCACTCGTCCGTGTCTGGACGAGTGGAAAGACATCCACTCGTTCACATGTCTTGACAACACTGGAAACAATCGGGCGATCTCGCTTCTGTCATGTTATCTGTTAACTAGAATATGTTCCGTTCACCTGTGATGTATGGGCCTCGAACGGTGGATCTCAGGTTGACGCTCTGTCCACTGGGCTACGGTAGCCTTAAAAAGGAAAGTTATTTTTCTTTTTAGATAATGGCTTTACCATTAAATGGTGATATTGGCTTTACCATTAAATGGTGATATTGGCTTTACCTTGTCTTCAACAAGTGTTACCTTTTTGATGCCGCTGCTAATGAAATGATGACCCAATTCCCTGACTTTCTTAGATATCTTTAAGTCACTACTATCATCACCCTGTCCCCCCCCCCATTGTCCTCCTACCACTGTAATAGGTGGCAATCACCTCTGGTGCTTACCACCTATTACTGCGTAGTTCGCACCTGTGCCTACCCTCTGATTGCTTAATAGACCTCCTACACCTACTTACTGATTGCTTAATAATAGACCTCCTACACCTACTTACTGATTGCTTAATAATAGACCTCCTACACCTACTTACTGATTGCTTAATAATAGACCTCCTACACCTACTTACTGATTGCTTAATAATAGACCTCCTACACCTACTTACTGATTGCTTAATAATAGACCTCCTACACCTACTTACCGATTGCTTAATAATAGACCTCCTACACCTACTTACTGATTGCTTAATAATAGACCTCCTACACCTACTTACTGATTGCTTAATAATAGACCTCCTACACCTACTTACTGATTGCTTAATAGACCTCCTACACCTACTTACTGATTACTTAATAGACCTCCTACACCAACTTACTGATTGCTTAATAGACCTCCTACACCAACTTACTGATTGCTTAATAGACCTCCTACACCTACTTACTGATTGCTTAATAATAGACCTCCTACACCTACTTACTGATTGCTTAATAATAGACCTCCTACACCTACTTACTGATTGCTTAATAATAGACCTCCTACACCAACTTACTGATTGCTTAATAATAGACCTCCTACACCAACTTACTGATTGCTTAATAGACCTCCTACACCTTGCTGTCTGTCACTGTTGGTTGTCGTGTGCTTCCATCAGTGCCTCGTCGTTGGTGCTTGCCTGGTTGTTGAAGACTTACATACTGCAGTACGCTTCAAGATCTTTATTGAGTAACTTAAGATAGATGTGAGGTCCTACCTAGCTAGTGTCAGGTGTGAGGTCCTACCTAGCTAGTGTCAGGTGTGAGGTCCTACCTAGCTAGTGTCAGGTGTGAGGTCCTACCTAGCTAGTGTCAGGTGTGAGGTCCTACCTAGCTAGTGTCAGGTGTGAGGTCCTACCTAGCTAGTGTCAGGTGTGAGGTCCTACCTAGCTAGTGTCAGGTGTGAGGTCGTGGCGGCCACTGCTGGCTCTCTAGTCACTTGTAGTAACAAGATTCGTCCACATCGGCTCCGGGCGTCCCACATTATACATAAATCTGTGTATTTATGATTGTAGGTCAGCTTAGCATTTTACAAGGACTACAATCACATTATGTGGTTGATTGTTCAATAAATCACCGAACTATATGTTAAGAGATCTCAAACCCTGACTATGGAAGACAGAAGAAAATGTATATATGTTGGTTAGCATTGTAAATGTGTGGCCACGTCTGTGGTAGGAAATAATAATCATAAACTGCCGGCTCTATGGGAATGACGTCAGAGGCCTAGGTGCCTCAGGATTGGCTATTCACCATCTTACAATCTGAAGGCTGAACTTGGTAAACTATCCTCTCTTGCGGGCTTGGGAATGTTACTCTTGCAGTACTCAGTTGTGATTGCCGGGCTTGAGCTTTAGCTCTGGGGCCAGATTCACGATAGCACGCAAGCACTTACGAACGTGTACATCTTTCCTCAATCTTTGACGGCTTTGGTTACATTTATTAAACAGTTTACAAGCATGAAAACTTCCCAATCAACTGTTGTAATGGTTATAAACAGCCTCCTGGTGTTTGGGAGCTTATTAACTGTTTAATAATTGTAAACAAAGCCGCCAAAGATTGAGAAAAGATGTACAGGTTCGTAAGTGTTTGCGTAACTGCTTTCGTGAATCAGGACCCACCGTTGCTTGCGTCGCTCAAGAGAGTTGCTCGACTCTAGATAAAGTCCTCTGTGAATTAAATTAAATTTTGCCCCGAGGGGCGAGTTTATTGGGCAGCGCCACTCATCTTGTGAGTGGACACACCGCCATAGCAGCATGTACAACACTCCCCCAATAGGAAGAAAACCCGCTGGGTGTGAATATTGCTCTTCATATGTCTCCTTCTTCTTCATTATTAGCGTCGTTAAGCATATTTAGGACAATCTCTGACTTTTGTGACACAGATGTTCTTAGTTTTTTTAGGCTTGGTGCCATACAATAATTACTTTAGTCATTGTTTCTTAACGTGGTGTTCCTTAGTGCGAGTTTGGCTCATAATCCACAACAACCAAATCATTCAAACTTATAATAAATCAAAAATCAAATAGAAATTGTAAACAATTATATTTAGTACAGTTAGTCTTATCTACGCTAGTTTATGCTCGCTTGAAATGCGCATTTTGTGCATTTTTTATTTTATTTTAAATTACACAAGTGGCATTAATGTCTTGCAAATAACTGTATATATCTTGAGATGATTTCGGGGCTTACCGTCCCCACGGCCCGGTCCCAGGCCTCCTTTTTGCTACCCCCCCCCCTCCCCATGAAGCAGCCCGTAGCAGCTGTCCCAGACACCTATTTACTGCTAGGTGAACAGGAGCATCAGGATGAAAAGAAACTGCCCATTTGTTTCCGCCTCCACCGGGGATCGAACCCGGAGCCTCAGGACTACGAAGCACGAGCGCTGTCCGCTCAGCCGTCAGGTCCCCAATGTGCAGTTGGTTAACAACCCAAAAATGACGGATTTGATTCCTTCGGCAGAACAAGTGACGTTTGGGCATGTTTCCTCTCACCTAATACTCCCATTCACCTAATAGTCAAATAGGTAATTGGGACGCGGGGCACCTATTGTGGGTAGCATCCTAGGAAGGACCATTGGTGTAGGACCACCATTAACTAGTCCGCATCCTAGGAAGGACCATTGGTGTAGGACCACCATTAACTAGTCCGCATCCTAGGAAGGACCATTGGTGTAGGACCACCATTAACCTAGTCCGCATCCTAGGAAGGACCATTGGTGTAGGACCACCATTAACTAGTCCACATCCTAGGAAGGACCATTGGTGTAGGACCACCATTAACTAGTCCGCATCCTAGGAAGGACCATTGGTGTAGGACCACCATTAACCTAGTCCGCATCCTAGGAAGGACC